AGCTTTGTAAAATCCTTCCCCCTTTGTTCAGAGTAATGCAGTTTTTTTTTCCTGTTACTTTTCCAGACTAAGGGGGCAGGTTTGGTAGGTACAGTTAGTGTGGCTGTGCTGTTCTGTTGTTCAGAGGGGATTTTTTGGTAACAGTTAATGAGAAAAGATAATCTTTGTAACAACACACATTGGTTCTGGAGGGAGAAATGCAGTGATAAAAGAATAAGCAGTTCATCATGCAGTAAAGACTTAGTGCTAAACTGGCCAAACATGTTTACAGGCTCATACCTGATTTGAGAGGAAAAAATAGGCTATCACCTATCAATTATTTAGGATTCTTTGGTTAATGCTACAATGATAGTTTCTATGAAAAGAAAATGCAAATTAATAGAGACTTGGTTTAAATGTAATTAAATACTATGATGATAAGTTTATACAAAAGGAAAAAAAAAAAGCCTTTACCTGCCATAAACTTTAACCACCTGATATTCTGTAGCTGAAAACATACTCGTGAACTGGAGACTATTCCTCAACTTTTATCATTACAAAGAGTATTTTTCAAACTGTTCAAATGGGACTTTACTAGCTGGATGATCCATACTTTTTATGTGTTTTAAATTCATGAATATGTTAAGATTTCTGCAGTGAAACTATTCAGAGTTAACTTTTTCTGTATATTGTCAAATGAATTTTGTCCGTAGTGAAGAGACTATAGGATACTTGAAAATACTTGAAGAAATTGTACACATACTTCACATCTTTATAGCTCTTTATTTTGTACCTAGAGATTGGCTGTTAAACTAAGATAAAGCATCAATACCTTATAAACTATATATTTTACTACATGGGGAAATCACGGGCTTGGTTTTTTTAAGGGCCGTGTTGAAGTTTACATTATATTGACAAAACCAGGTACTGTTTTTCCTCTTTTTATTTTTCCTGTAACATTTCAATCCATTGGACATTAAATGTGAATTGGATATACAAAGCAGTTTTACAGGTGTAGCTCATTTGCTGAATTGCAATAAAATTTGTCTTCTAACATGAAAAAAATAGCATTAATGTGCTATTTTCGAAAAGCCTGTTATAATTTGGCTGATACCTGCTCATTGCCTGGCTGCAGCTCTGTGGGACATTTTAGTGGTTTCAGGAGACCTTTGTTGTACAGTTTTGTCTGATCTGTTCAACTGCAACTCCTTCCTCCCAGCTCCAAGGCAGCCTTTCCCCAGGCCATGCTTGTCAGCCAGACTGCCAGCAGGGGAAGAGAAGCCTGCTCAGGATCAGGGAATGGGGAGAAGGGGAAGGCAGAGGCACCAGCACAGACCCTGGAAGGTGTCTGTGAGCACACACACACACACTCAGATGTGCTGCTGTTCCCTCTGCTCCAAGCTGTGTCAAACTGATCATCACTAAATGTTCTACACCACCAGGGAAGACAGAAGGGAAGGAGCTGGATCACTGGTTTGGAGCTATCTCTGTTGCTTCACCTCTCACATCCCCCTGGTTGGTGGTGGAGGCTTTTTTTAAGCAAAGGGAAATAACAAGTTGAGTATCTCTCTTGGGGGAACCACGTGGATCTTCCTGAGCTGGGGGTGAGCTGATGGTGTCACCCCGTGGGCTCCCCAGGGACATGGCAGAGGGTGAACTCAGCCTGAGCCATGCTCTGGCCTCATCCTTGAACAGCTCTGGGGGTGCAGTCGTGGATTTGGTGCCTGTGAGACACCAAACCTGGCTCAGAGCTGGGCTTTGCTCCCATCTCTGCTCCCTGGGCTTTGGATGGACCTGCTGCTCCTGGGATGGATGTGGGTGGAGCTGAGGTGAGTGCACCTTCAGAAGCACATTCACCACATCACAGGTGGCCTCCAGTTTTTCAGATTTCCTTGAAGGAAAAGGAGCACGAAGAGCAGAGCCTTGGTGGGCAAAGTGTGTTGTGCAATTGCTGGGTGCACAGTCAGGGACTGTTTACTGACTGCTCCAGTCTATTTGTTGTAGCAATGACTTGGAAAGTTCTCACAAGGAAATACAAATGTCCCAAAGTTATTTCACATGACAAAGTGTCTCCTTTTTCCCCCTATTAAGTCAGAAATGTGTGTGTATTAATGGGCCATACTGTATTCAGTTCTGCAATAAACAGGAACTGTTCTTCATTTCAGTGACAGTGGCGTGTTAAGATGCAGATCCTACAACACTGAAAATGTCACTGGTGGATCTGATGTTTGTTTTGGGAAAGTTTTTCTACAAGTAGCATAAAAAGACTTAGACAAGGCATATAAATTACATGAGAGGGTTTTTAATGCCCCTTGTGACCAGAGAATCCACCAATTTCCTCTGTCTCAGATGAGTCCTGTGTGGGTCCTGCTGATTCCTGAAGGTGTGTTATTTTTGCACAGAATTCAACAACCTGTTTGGTGGCTTGGAAAACCCTGGCACACTAAGATGGGAAGTGCAAAAATTTGAGCGATACATTTCAAAGAAAAACAATTACTCAAAACTCAGTTTACATCTGGAGATGAGCAAGGCTTGACACTACAGCTCTGAGACGTTTTGTGTATGCTTTGGAACAATTAAATATTTGAAAGTATTTCCTCACTTGTCAGCATCCTACTTTCCTTTTATCATTCTGGCATCTCCCAGCCCTCCCAGTTGTTTTCAGCTGCTGTCACAAGCACTCAAGCTTGCTCAGTCATGCTAAATTTTGGGTTTGTATGATGCATTGTTGCTCAGGCCAGCAGCGTTGCTACTTCTAATTAAAGTGCAGATGAAATGGCAGTCTACATGTCTTCCAGTAATGTTTGGTCACCATTAAATAATGAAATGTAACAAAGATTATGAAGCATAAAGCAGTTTTAAAACCAGGTTTTCAGACAGAAGTATTCAGGTGTAGAATTTCTGAACCAGATTTTACATCCAGCTGCTCTGTGGCAGCTTAGTCTCAATCTCTCAATGTGAGGCAACTGCATGTGACAGTGAAAATGGAGAGCAGAGGGGAATTGGGGGTTTTATCTCTATGGAAGTAGCTATTTTCCTCCCTGAAACTTTGTTACTTGATTTAATTTTAAATTGCTGAAAAAATCCCCAAATAGTCCTATTTGGGGTGTCATCCTGTCCAGCTGCCCTGGTATGGTTGTTTTCCTTTCCTCATTCTTAACTTAATGCTGAAGTTGAATCTCAATAATTTTTCTAGCTTCTCTCTCCCAGTAAAGGTCTTCGTGCCCAGAGCAGTCATCTGTCACTGTGGCTCTGTAGTTGAATAGAAATAGTTAAAAACGCTGCAGAAAGGCATCTGAGTTGAGGTCTGAGCTTGTCTGCTTTGTGTCTTTAAAGAGATATTTTAATGGCAATTCTTCATCATAAACAAATGTGTGTTATATGTGAAATAATAGCCAGGATCCTTCACAAAACACTTAGAGATTTATGTGTAAGAAATGGCTTCATTAGCTAAGATAAATTTGATATTATTCTGTTTGTTTTCCAAGCTGCAGTGAGATCTTTTGATCTAACTCAGGCATTCCCAAATATTTATGTCTCACTTTATGTTTTAGTTTACAGAAGTAAGAAAGATGCTTTGCCTTTGCAGTGCCTCAGCTTCAGATATTTTGGTTATACGACTCTTCAGTGTCTCTTACTGGTTTTTCTGCTACAGACTTATGTGTTCTTGCTTTGTCTTTTGCAAATCTTGTGATGAAAGTTAATTACATTAATACTGGTCAAGTTCATTGAGGGCACTTGACTGGACAGTGCCTGAATTGTGTACCAGCTTTTCTGTGAGGTGGCTTGAATGTGCCTGGATGGGAGATGGCTTCTGTGTCCATTTGGGAGAGGTGACAGTGGAGACACCTGAGTGTGCCAATTCCCAGCCCAGTGATGGTTTATTCATGAGAGCATGGAAACTGTCGAGAAACCCTTCATCCATTTATTGCTCTCTGTTGGTGAGGGGAGGATTGGGGTATGGTGCAGGGCTGGAGAATCCTTGGAGTGTTTAATGAGCAGCTTTATGTATTTATAGATGAGATTGACTAAGACTGAAACCGTCCAGGAGACACAAAAGGTTGCTTCTCATTGGATTTAAAAAGAGAATAACTTTGATCATTTCAAAAGCAATGAAGCCTGATGCTCCAGTGAGAAAGAAGAGCGGTAATTTATAGCTGCCATTAAGGAAACAAAGACAAAGACTGAGGGAAACTTTCATTCTGAAGATTTACTAATGTGTATAAACCGCCCTTGTAACTAGAAACAGCTCGGTATTTCTCACAGAACAAAACAAAAGAGAAAGGGCAGTGAAATGGGGATGGGAGGGAGGGGTGGAAAAGAATACTGCCTGCTTTTGCTCGCAGCCTGAAAGGTCAGACATTATTTAGGAAATTATAATTTCAGTGAATAATGTATGAGCCAATTTTACCTGCCAAAGGAGTGACAGCTGTGAGAAATCCCTGGCTGGGACTGGAGGTGGGATGGGGCTGGAATGGGGGTGGGGTGATGTGCGGGTTTTGCCCTGGCCTGCAGCCGGGGATTCACGCTCTGCAGCGGGGTGTAATTACACGGTGAAAATGTCCAAATGTCCATATTGTATTTTCGAACAAACGCGGGCCAGACCGGAGCGCCTCGCGTGTGTCCGGGCAGCCAGGGGCTCCTTGCTCGGGCTTGTGTCCGCGCTGGGCGATGGCCCCCGGTCCTCGGGGAGCCCGGCACAGCTCCGGGCATCCTCAGCCCGTGTGCGATCTGTTCCGGCTCGGCGGACACCTGTGTACCTGTGTACCTGTGCTTGTGCTGCCGCAGGTGTGCGAGCGCCGCTCCGGCGGCCGCGGCTGCCACGGGCGGGGCGGTTCGAGCTCCGGGAGCGCCCGGCGGGCCCGGGGCAGGGCCGGGCAGGGCAGGGGGAGGCCCGCCCAGCCCTCGCCGCCCCGCGCCCGCTGTCAGTGCGAGGCGGGCCGGGCTCCCCAGACACTCCCTCCTCCTCCTCCTCCTCCTCCGCCACCTCCTCCCGCCCGGCAGCGGCAGCAGCGCCATCCATGGGGTCCGGCGGCCGACGCGGCGCGACCGGGGCGAGGGCGCTGCCGCTGCTGCTCCTGCTGCTGCCCGCGCCGGGCGGCACCGCCGCGCTGCCCCTGCCCGGTGAGTGCCCCCCGTGCCCCCCGTCCCTGCCCGGTGAGTGCCCCCCGTGCCCTCTGTCTCTTCCCGGTGAGTGCTCCCTGCTCCTTCCCCTGCCCGGTGGGTGCCCCCCGTGCCCCCCGTCCCTGCCCGGTGAGTGCTCCCCCGTGCCCTCTGTCTCTTCCCGGTGAGTGCTCCCGTCCCTGCCCGGTGAGTGCCCCCCGTTCCCCCGGTCCCTGCCTGGTGAGCGCTGCCCGGTGAGTGCTCCCTGCGCCTTCCCCTGCCCGGTGAGTGCCCCCCGTGCCCCCGCTCCCTGCCCAGTCCCTGCCCCGCTGCCCCCAGCCCCGGACAGCGGCTCCCGCCGCAGCTCCCCCCGGTCCCGGCTCTCCCCTCCCGCCCGGTGCCGCCGGTGCTGGGGCGGTCGCTGCTCGCAGGGCGCTCGGGCTCCGCGGGTGCTGCCAGTGCCGCTTTCCCGGCGGTTCCCGCTGCCCTGGAAGCGGGGAGAGCCCCGGGCCGGGGCACCTGGGGAGCGGGGTGTGAACGGGGTGTGCTGCGGGTGAAGCTGCCTTCGGTCCCCGCGGAACAAGCCCAGGGATTCTCCCGCCGCCGCCTCCTGCCAAGTTGAAGGCTGCGATGTTTGCTCACAGTCTCGTTCCTGCAGGGTCTCTCTTCTGCTCGGGGTACTGTCACTGCAAGGGGAAATCTCGCTATCCGTCCCTACGAATTTTTCCTAACCCTGTTTTCCACGCCTTTGCATGCATTAGTGATGCGGCTCTTGGTGCGGTTCTTCACCGCACGCTGCGGATCACAGAGGGGCGGTGTAAAAACAACCCCGCTGAGCTGTCTGCTGCCGCTGGCACAGATCTGGGTGATGTCTCTGTATCCTGGCTTAGAGGGAAGCTCCCCCTTTGCTATTTTTCGGACTCCTCTTGCCGTGGCAGGTTGTACCCCTGGCTGGGGCAGGGGGGAAGCTGGCGGTGCCGAGGGCACACACTCGGCACTTGTGGCTGATGCTCCTTTATGCCCGCTGTTCTTCCCTGCCCATCCTTTCCTTCTGTCCCACCTACCTGAGTCCCACCAGCTGGAGACCCCTCAGCTATTGCCCACACCCTTCCTTGCATGACTTGCTCCTTCAATTCAATGCATCCCATATTTTTTAATGCATTGACTCCTCTGCTTTGAGAAGCAGTGAATTCTGCTGCTCTTCCCAGCTGCTTTCCACTGTTTGCCACCTTCTCCTTTCTTTCTGGTGGCAGCATCTGGGCACCCCATCGCTGCTGCTGGAGCTGTGTGCACCTGAGAGCCAGGAAGGCACTGCTGCTCTAACACTGGCTCCTTGCCTTGTTTCCCACTGCCAAACCCCATTAGGAGTTAAAACCAAGTGAACACTTTCTGCAGTTGGCAGCTGCTGCAGTACCTACAGGCATATTTTGTGATTGGGGGAAAGGAAAAAAAAAAAGAGCAGGATGAATGCTATAATTGTAAATGGGAGAAGTGCAGGCTGAAATTTCCATTTGGAAAGTGATCCCCACCATAAAAAGTGGCTGACTATTGAAGTAGCTGCTTTCTGCTGATCCTCATACACTACTTCTTGCTTTAGGAGGCACTTTTTGTACCTGCATGGGGTGTTGCTTCTACAATTCTTCCTTTTAGCCAGTTGCTGGAAATCTTCCTGTTTCTGTGCTTCAGTTTTCTTCTGCTGTGTGAAAAACTTGTGCTGATGTCTTCTGCTACCTGTAACTTTTCTTCCTTTTCTGTCTACACTTCTTCATCTCCAGGACTTCTTCCTGTTGGTGTTTCCCTTTCTCTTCATTTCCTCTTCTCTGAAGTTTCCACCTGGATATTTTGCTTCAGTTTGCTGTGCTTTGAGATGGCTGGCCAGGTGATTGGGCAATGCTGCTCCCCAGATACTATTCTTGTATTAAAAAAAAAATTTTAAGATTATACGTCTGTTTAATGGTAAGTCAGTCTTTTAACTTCTTGGTGGTGACTTTGAAAGTACATTTCAATCAAGTCCCCTTGTTATTTTAAAAATCTTTGGGCTTCCTGCAGGTGATGCATGGATATGATCACGAACTCTTTTGATGACTGTTTTTTGTTAATCAGAAAGATTAACAATCTCTTTGAAAGTATCAGCTGAATTTCACAGAGCATCTAGTCCTTAAGAGATTGTTTTGGATGCATTTATAAATGTGCACAAAAACTTTCCATGGCCCTATCTGCATACAAATATCTATATGCAGGTACAATATGACACAAATTGAAGTACAGATGCTGTTTCTTGCTATTTCTGTCCTGACACACAAAACCACACGATATTCTTGTGGGCACCACAGAGAGATGCTCAGCCTTGTCATCTCCTCAGGGATGTGTTCAGGAGACATGCCCTGTTCTCCTCCTGCTGACTGACATCCCTCCTGGGCCTGCTGTCTTTTCACAGATGTGGACGAGTGTGCCCTGGGGCTGGATGACTGCCACCCAGATGCTATTTGTCAAAACACCCCGAAGCTGTACAAGTGCATGTGCAAAGTGGGTTACACTGGAGAAGGGAAGAAGTGTGAAGGTAAAGGGACCAGAGCACTGAGTTCTGTCTGTGTCAGCATGGAGCATGTCTAAGAAAATAGGCACTAAAAATAACGAGGGGTGATTTTTAAAGTAGCGTTTGTTTTGTCACCCAATTTACTTCTTGTTTACAAAATCAAAGGCAAACCTTGCATGGATTTTCACCTGTTCATTTCACTCAGCCTGATAACGAGTTTGTTGTTTAACCAGCGGCCTTAAAAAATATAAGGTAACGCTGCAAGGATGTTTCAGGGTGCTTTCTCAGCCATCAGAAACATTCAGTAAGAAATGCATTAAATACAGTGTATTTGCAAGACAATGACGATTTTGGACAGCAGTTGCTGCTCACATTTAGGCAGTCACATCCCTGTCTATAGCACTCAGGCAAGCATCCATCATATTGACTTTAGCTTTATTCCTCAGACATTGATGAATGTGACAACGACTTCAATGGGGGCTGTGTCCACGAGTGTTTCAACATTCCAGGGAATTACCGCTGCACTTGCTACGATGGCTTTATGCTGGCTCACGATGGCCACAACTGCCTGGGTAAGGAGTTGAGCAGTGTGAGTGGTGATGGGAGCACAGCCCTGCAGCTGCACCCGCGGGGAGCATGTGCCAATGTCCTGGGCTCAGTTCAGAGAGAGAATGCTGCTTGTGACACGCAGGACTTTCAGGTGCTGAGGTATCTCCCCAGTGGGGCTCTTTCCCCCTCTGTAAATGAGGATAACTGTGCTGTATTGCTGTGGAGTGCTTTGGGTTTAAGTGTGCCAAATGTCATCTATTATTATGCTAAGTGAGTTTATATAAAGGAACATGTGCTATCATTGTCCTCTCTGTTCCAGTTAGCTCAGGATTAGTTGTCAGGTGTGTTTCCAGGTTTAGGGATCTTCTCTCCCAAGTATATCTGGGATGTGGGGGCTTCTCACTCTGAGCATTCCCAAAAGGAGAGGATGATTTGGAGAGTGCAGTAGCTGTGTATGTAGGAGGCCATTGAGGAGCAGAGCTGCTGAAGGTGTCCTGCTTGCTGCACCCCAGCTGGGCACCTGTGTGGCTCAGCCCTGTGCTCCCTGTGCCAGCTGCTTTTTCAGAGCTGGCTCAGGTTTTCTCTAGTGCTGCACTCCGTGTGGACACAGCTCCATACCCATGGCAGAGGGAGCCTTGCTCTCACTGCATAACTGAAGTTGGTTTGGCTGGGTATTTCCCACCAGTGTGTGGCACATCAGGTGCGGGTCAGACCATCCCCAGGCTGTATCTTCTGCTGGGACAAATCAGAAAACTCTGGGGTATTCAGTGGGGTTGTGTTGGGTTTTACCTGCTGGGAACCTGTTTCGTGCCCAGCTTTCCACAGCGTGAGTGGAGGAGAGGGTGAACTCACCAGGTTCCAAATATTTAAATAAACTAGAGAGGGAAACAAAATATCTGCGGATACTTTAAAATAACAGAACATCAATCTTATTTTTGCCTTTGTGTAAACACAGAGTGGAGTTCAGTTGAGGTTACCATGAAGGAGCACACTGCCTGACAATGGCACCCAAAGGCACGTGTGAATTCCCTTTGTACCCAGGGCACACTTCAGCTGACTCGTTTTATGACCAGTGACATAACTTAGATCAAAATCTACCACCTGCTTTGTCACTGGGAAGCTGCTCAGTATTGCATGGCAGACCTATAAAATAAAATAAAGCAAAATGTCGTTGACATACAATGAGGTTTTTACCACTGATGTGCCAATTTTGAGTTGTGATGTAAACGTTAAATAAATATTTTGTCATGCAGCAAATTGGATCACATCTTCTCTTAATCTGTTTATTTACTTTGTTCACGCCAGGGTTGCCCTCCTCTCACCCTTATTTTTGAAGATCTCGGCTGTGTGCCTGGGTTTAAGCCAAATAGACAATTACTTGTTGGAAAGAGATGATTTTTTTGAAAGCTTTCCAAAGTCTGTAAGACAGAAACATCTGCTGGAGTTCAAATCTGTAGCACTAAAGGCTCGTGGTGGCTGTTTATTCATGATTGTTTGCACATTCACATCGCTGTAGAACTCTAAAATACTCAGCTTCTTTGTGATGGAGATATGTCAGCCGCTCTTTTTCTCCAGCAGGTCACATTCTTTTGCATCCAATTGGCTTACTCACTGCCTTCAGTGGACATTAAATCTGTTGTAATACTATGTTATGCTTCTTACTAAAAGCCTCTCTTTCTCCTTTTTTTAAAAAGACAGCTGTTTTCTGACAGAAATGCTACAATGTTAAATTAAAAACATTGTACTGTTAGCCCGGAACAATGAACAGAACAGGGAGCAAATATGATGTTACAGATGAATTTGCAAATGAGACCAGTGCTTTGCCTCAGCAAGATTTTGTCCTGTTTTTAAGGGACTGAGTGTTTTTTAGTTCCCGTTAAAATTTCTGAAAATTAGGCTAGGGAAAGTATTGGGCAGTTGTGGTTACAAAAAAACCCTGTGCTTATGAAGGGGTAAAATTGCAAAGAATTGGCTATTGGGATGGACATCCTGTTGTTCAGAGGCTTAACTAAAGTTTTTCTACTCTTTGGTTTTCTCGGTTATCTTGCAAGCAGAGCCCTCCTGTGTTCTCTGGTATTGAGACTCTGAATGTTGCAAAATCAAGATTAAAACTGCTTCCAGAACTTCTGCTCTTGTGCTTGGCTGCAGTCAGTCAACACAGCAGCAGCCCTGATGATGAGTGATGATGTCCTAGACTTGAGGGAGGAGGATGATAAATCAGACCAAGCACCAGAACAGATGTGGTGTGTGAATTCTTGCTAGGGTGAAGGTAAAGAGCAGGGGATAGGTTTTCAGCTGAATTTGAGGTTTGTATTTTTCTTGTTCCACCTTTGCTTCAGGAGGTGGAGCTTTCTGGGGGAGCACCTTTTGTAGCTTGGATGTGTTTGGAACCAAAGGGTTGCTGTGCCATTGAGCCAGCCAGACCCACTTGTGATTGCTGGGCTGGATGTGCCAGAGCTGTGGAGTGGAGCTGCACTGAGGGGCAGGGAATGTCCCCATGGGTGGGGGATCCTGATCTGGCTCTGCCAAAGCTGCTCTGCCTCAGCTGGAGCCATCAGCTCAGCTGGGGTGGGTTGGGGTGGTCAGCACTTCTTGGGAGCCCTGTGGCTGCTCAGGCAGGCTGCAAAGACGGGAAAATGAGAAAGATGAGGAAAAATGGGCAGAGCAGCAGCAGAAATGCACTTTGCCAAGGGTGACAGCAGCCACAGGATAACCTGGGGTGTCTCAGCCTCCTGGCTGCTTCCAACCCCAGCTGATGCCTGCCTGTGCCATGCAATGGTGTGAGCACAAAGCTGATCTCTGCCCTTTCCCCTCTCTCTCTCAGACACAGATGAGTGCATGTTCAACAACGGTGGCTGCCAGCACGTTTGTGTCAACACCGTGGGGAGCTACGAGTGCCTCTGCAAGGAGGGATTCTTCCTCAGTGACAACCAGCACACCTGCATCCACCGCTCCGAAGGTACCGCCCCCCCAGGACACGGCAGCAGCTCTGGCCAGGGAGGAAAAGGCTCTAAACCACCTCCAAACATGCTTTTAGGCTGATGTTTTCAAAGCTGTGAAGGTCTTGAAGTCCTCGGTGCTTTCGAAAGGAGCAGTGTGTCAGGATCTTCTGAGTGGCTTTGAAGATGCTGCATCCCTTCCTCCTCTTGATCCCAGCAGTGCTGTGCTTGTTGGAGGCTGTGCTGCTCTATTCCCACTGTTCTTGGTGCTCTGTTGTGCAGCTAAACCGTGTCCTAATCCAAGGAAAGGCAACAACTGGAAGTTCTGGGCATTTTCACTGGCTTTAGTTACAGGGTGATACCTGCACTGCCTTCAGACACCTCTCAGATTCCCTGTGCAGTGTTTAGGTTTCAGCTAGGAGATTTATTGTTTGTCAGCCCCAAAGGTATTCAAATCTTGTGCTTTGTTTTGAGTGAAACCTTTGTGAAGGGACCTTTGAGAGATCAGAGTCTTGGATATCTAATTAGACATCAGATGGAACAAAATTATTTTGGATGCCCTTAGGGAATGCTTTAAAGTGGTTGCTCAGATCAGGGAGTTGTCCATTGAACTGTACAGCAAAAATCTTAGTAAGAAGCCCTTAAAGCTGCAAGGCTTTCTTTAATCTATGGCTTATTGTTGGCATAACTAGAAGAGGAATCTGAGCATGAATAAACAAATCTCACTTTAAAAATCCCCAAAGTGAAGAGATCAACATTTGTAGACATATATGGCCATCCAGAGATGAGGGTGCTGAGGTGGCTGTCATCTGACAGAGCTGGATTGATCTTTTGTTTGGATGAAGAATTTGTGTTCTCAGCTCCCTGGCCCCGGGTGGCTCCTCAGGCCAGGGCTCAGTTGCCCCTGCAGGGGCTGGGCCAGGAGTGGGGACAGGCAGGAGGGCAGCAGTGCTGGGACAAGGCATGGCAGGGGTGTGGGTTTGTGTGCATCCATGGAGGAGGGCTCCAAGGACAGAAATTGGTTGCTTGAACTCCTTGTCTTGTCTGATGCCAAAAGAGGAAAATCTTCCAACTCTTTTTTTCGTACTTGCTACTCCTTGAGCACCTTCTGCTCTCTTGAACTGACAGCAGCAGCATTCTCTGTCATTAGTATTTGCTCCCTTATTTGCACCTTTGGAGTTCTCTCTCTTTTCTTAAAGGTGCATTTAATTTCTCTTAGCTTTTTTCCCCAAAATTATAAAAAAATGTATTTTTTCATAATACCAAATATCCACTAAACAGATATTTTTCTTTGAAAAGGAAAACAGAGGATAAAAAAGACGGATTTTTCCCCCATAAAAACTGTCTAATAAAATACATCTTTATCAAAACCAGTATTAAGGAAAAACCTCAGCACACTGTTTTGCCTGATACCTTTTTTTCCTTCTTGGTAAAACATTGAAGTGTTTGTTTTGCTTTCTTCAAAAGCCATTTTTTCAGGTTTTCATGCTGTGACTGTTTCCCTTCTACCCCCCCTTCATTACTGTAAAGTGCTGCTCGGGATTCCCCACCATTTTTTTAACTTTTTTTTTTTTCCCTTGGGTGGGCATGTCAGTTGTAAGCCAAATCTCACTTCTTTATCTTTCCCCTCACTTTGTTCTCTGCTTTTCTGCTCATTTCTGGGACTTCTGTTCTCTGCCTTGTGTATGCATTATTTTATTGGTTCTGAGACCTCACAGTGTTGATCAAAGCAGGTTTTGGCTCCTACTGCCTACACCATCTATTCATTGTGCTTCTTTTCTGTAAAACGAGGGAATATTTCCTTCCCCTGTCTCCCAGCCCCATCAAAATTCTTCATATATTAATGCCTGAGAGACCTTCCCTGTGGTCTGCAATATTGGCCTTTAAATACACAGAAGCAGAGTGAACTGGAGTTTAAACCACAGGAACTGGAGGTGTCCTGGGAAGTTGAGTACAATCCTATTTTTTCCCCCTGTTTGCCTGCTGGAATGAGCTTCTTCATCTGTGTGGGAGAATAAATTACCTTGGGAAGCTGTTGAAGTATCTGGCAGGGCAGCCATGCATGTGCACCTTGTTTCTGGCTTCAGCTTGCTCCATACTAGGGAATACAAAAACTTGAAGGAAAACAGAGTTTTGTTTTTTTTTTTGGTCAGTAAATACATAGTGCATCTTTGTGGCTGCTGTTGCTGTGGATGGCAAATCTTGCTGCTCTCCCTTGTGGTATTTCACAGTCATAGCTCTGTGCTCGTTGGGCTGAATTGATGGGAAGGAGCAGGATCTGTGGGATGAAAACTGCTTTTTGAATCCCTGTGGACTTGTACACGGGCACCATCTCAGCTGTCACTCTTGGAGCCTTGACTGAGGAGAACAGGGATAACTAGAGAGTTTTAGGGAAAAGTTGCCTCAACATAAGGATGTAGAAAGCATGATGAAAGATTAAAGCAGTCCTGGGATAGGTTCTGCTGGCTGTGCTGATGCTCCTCACCATTTTTCTTTTCTCTCAGAATATCTGGCAGCTCTGTCGCATTGCATCCTCTCTCTGCCCTACGGAATGCCTGCTTGAATGTGCCCTAAATGGAGCCTTAATGCTCTTAGCAGGTTGGGAATGTTGTCCTGACACCTTCTGTGCAACAAAAATCAAGATTTAAACCAAGATCATACATGTAAGAGATTTATTTGGCGTGATCTGGTAGGGAAATGCTGTGCTGGCTTGTTTTGCCAGTGACAGGAGTGCTCAGGTCTCAGGTTTGCTGGGTGATTTCCAGAAATTCCAGTCATCAGAAGGGATCTGCTCAACCAAGGCACTGGATTCACCTCTCTTGGCTGAGTGGGACAATCCAGAGCCATCCATCCCAAGGGATTTGTGAGTCACTAGGGCAGGGTCTCCTACGAGAGAAATTGTGTGTGGGGAGATTTGACCAAAACGTGCTTGGGATTTGTTTCTGGACCACAGTCTGCCATTGCAACAGCACTGGAGCAATGAGACCTGAGTGTCCACCAAGGAGTTTGCAGCCACACAGCATTTATGGCTTTAGAGACATCTCTTTAATACAACCTTGTACAATGGGGCTGAGAGAGATCTTGCAGCTTTGGAAACCAGCAGCAGTCCCAAAGTAAATGCTGCAATGTGTGGATGTGGGAATTTTCTATGAAGCTGCCTTTTGGCTTGGCTGGATTTTGGTGGAGCACCTCGTTACACAATGAAAACTTTGTTATTAAAATGCATCCTGGTCTGGAAAGCAAAGTTTAGCTTCCTGTGGAGACCTGATTGAATTCTGCTCCCTCAGAATGGAGCAGTCCCAAATGGAGCATATAAACCATTTGTTTGGTGTCAGTGAACTTTACCAAAGTACCTGCCTGAACAGTTTCCCTTTTGGTGGCTCAAGAGAGACAAAAGAATAACTTTGTTAACAGAAACTAAGCTGCTAATTCTCTTAATGCTCTCTAACCCCTCTGAGCTGACAGACCAAACCATACTGCATGCTTAAGAGCAGAACTTTCACAAAAACACGGGCCCTAATGAGGCTAATTTGTGGCCTCATAGGTTGTCCTCTTCCTTGACTGACACAATAAGGGGTGACAATTTTCCTGTGGGCTCCTCGGGCTGTGTCTGTGTGCTGCAGGGTTTGAAGTCTCATTGTCTTGTTGGACTTGTGGACAGTCCTCACTGTGGGAAAGGAATCAAAAAGCCACTAGAGCAGAATAATCTGGGCTCTGCAATGTCCATTCTTTTGTTGCTTAAAGCTGCCTTAATACAGAAGGAGTCCTGTAGCTGGTGCTCCAGGGGGCAGGAATAGCAGTGTGGAACAAGGACCTAATTGAAGTGGAGTGGAATAATGGTGACGAGCTGACCTCTGCCTCACAATGCAGTGGGGTTGTTTCACTTAGTAATAAGGCTGAAAAAAAGGGCTGTGTAAGTTTAAAAAATATATAAGGTGTGGAATTGATCACACAGTCCCTTTCCTGCAGCAAGGTCAGCCTTTTTCTTCTGGTTGTGTCTGCTCAGCTCCAGAGAAGTTCCCTGGGTGCTGTGGGATAAGCCCTTGCAGCCAAAGCATGCTCCACTTGGTCTTCACAAATGGAATGTTCTCCCTGAGAAAAAAGAGCATTTTGGTGTAACTTGTCATTTTAAAGCCAAATGTGCTAATGCAGATAATTTGGTGGTAAAGGTGTGCTCTCTGTACACCCAAGGAGAGATTTCAGATGTCTTCTCTTTTCTGTTTTTGTAGCACTGTGGAGGCCTTCATCAAAAACCTGGGGTATTCTGTTAAAAAAAACCCTATTTGTTTAATCTGGTCTAATGATCCCATTGGGTAACTCAGCCATCTGCTGGGGGTTTTTGTGTTGTGTTTGTGCAGACTGTACCACCTTCTCCCCAATACCAAAGACACTGAACCATGGAGCAAGGGGAAAGAAGCTTTTGCAGTAATTTTAGGAACTCTTCCTCCCTGTTTAATTGACTTTACATTTATGCAAAGGCCAGGAAAGACACTCTGGTAATCAAGTGCTATGCATGACCTGGCAGAGATAAAAATGGCAGAATGTTTTAGAAGGTGTAGCAAAATAAATCCAGTCATTAGTGTCACACTGGTTCTTCATTTGGTTAAAGCAGGCACTGGCACTAAATTCTGTCTAGCTAGGAAGGTGTGTAGAAATACAGAGCACTGTGATAATACCCAGGTTATCTTGGGCGGTATGTACTTAAATCAGAAAAAAAAAAAAGATAACAAAATGATTAATGACAAAGAGAATTGATGTACAACATGTGTGCAATCTGCACATTGGCCTGGTCTCCACTTGGTCATTGCTGAGATAGCTTGAGATGACTCTGGGAATCTGCTCTGTAAGCCAGGAATTGAAATTGGGCTGACCCTTGTGACTGCTGTTCTAAACAGTTCTGTATCTGCTGGCTGCTCTTTTAAGCAGAGAAATAAGAACTTCAATTTAGAGTTGGACATGACATGACCACTTCCATAAAAGAAATGAGGGGGTTTTATGATCACCTAAAAGTATAAGGTGAGAGCATTGGATGAGAATTCAGGTGTTGGACATTCTATGGATGTTGCTCTTTGACCTTGCACAGAAAAGATCACAGAAGGAGAAACCTTGGGGCCATTGGCTTTGCAGGACTGGACTTGCTGCCTTTCCTCTCTGTAAGCTGAAACTTCTTGTCCCAGCTCTGCAGAGTCTTCCCAGAGTTAGGGGCTTAGTCTGTGTATTGACTGACTTTGTTGCCTGCACACAGAGCTGCTGAGGATGCTGATGCTCTTGCACCTTTCCTGTTTTACAGAAGGCATGAGCTGCATGAACAAAGATCATGGCTGTGCCCACATCTGCAGAGAAACACCCAAAGGAGGAGTAGCCTGTGAATGCCGACCAGGATTTGAGCTGTCCAAGAACCAGAGGAGCTGCATTTGTAGGCAACATTCTGCATATGCTTATGGTTTCCCAAAGTGAACAAACTGTTCTGTTTGCAGTGAAATGGGGCTTGGTATGTTTTAGCTGTGGGATGACACAGCTGAACTGTGTGTGTCTGAATTAAACCAGAATTGATGTCTATTCTGGACACTGTCACACAGGTCTGTTAATTGCTGTAGTGTCTGCAGTTTGGGAGCTGTGCATCGTTCCTAACAATGGGAAGCTCAGCTCCACGAGAGAGCTGGGCAGTGTTCCAGTCTCTCAGAGCCCTTCAGGATGGAGGCAAGTCAGGAAGGGGTGTTGGATGCTCAGATGGAATTGCACTCTGTCCTTCAAAGGTGCTGGAAGTATTTGTGAGAGTTTCCTCAGGGAGCTCCCCACTCTGACAGGTTTCCTCACATGAGAGGCACCTCTGTATCCCTTTTTTTTGGGATTGAATGCATGAGAGATGGTATTTCTTGTTCAGAACCTCTGTATCCCTTTTTTGGGGATTGAATGCATGAGAGATGGTATTTCTTGTTCAGACTTAGATGTTTCTTAATTCTTATCTATGCTACAGTGAGTTCTACAGCACTTGTAGCTGACAAACTGAAAATGGAGATGTATCTTTTTCTTTACAAGGTGTTTTAAGGCAAATGGTCCAATTAAGAAATGCTACCTAAATTATTTTTATTTTTAATGTAATATCTAATTATCTATGACCTGCAATGTGTTTTTTTAAAATCTAATTACAAAATATTACCCTCTAATTACAAAATATTACCCAAACTCATGAAGAAGAAGGTAAAGAAGCAGGACAAGAACCTCTGCCCTAAAACCTCCATCTTGCCCTCTACATATTACTATATTCTAAGACTTTAAATTTTAATTTTTTCACCATGTGATATTACACACTTCTATTCAAACTACACACCCACGATTCGACTTTTATCACTTAATCTTGGAAGCCTTTCCCATGGCCTCGTATTGGTGAGGGGGTCAGTGTCTGCCAGCCCAGGAAGCTCAAAACTCCCAATTTGGCAGAGTTCCATCCTGAGTGATGTGTGTTTTCCTCCTGCAGTGACCTGTAACCACGGCAATGGGGGCTGCCAGCACACGTGTGATGATGCTGACAATGGGCCCGTTTGTGGATGCCACCCCAAGTACGTCATGCACGTGGATGGGAAAACCTGCCTGGGTCAGTATGCAGGGCAGGCAAGGAGTTCTCTGTGGATGGCCAGCTCCAGGGTGGTGTGGTGCTGCTGTGTGTGCATGAATTAGTGCCCCTCATAATGGAATAGCTGCAAAATGGCAAGGAGTTCAAAATTAAGGATAGTGCATGGGTGAGTTGGTTGGGTCCAGGCAAGTTGTGTTTCTCTATTTAAGTAGCTACCTAATACTCTTGCAACCTGTAATTATCACTGGTCCCTCTGAAACACGAGGCAGGTACTAACCAAAGAAGGCTTCCTTCCCTCTTGGATATTTTAGGTTCAGTTTCTTCAGTAGCATGAGCCAGAGAGTATAAAAGCAAGGAGTTTGTCTGTAAAAACTGGGACTCTGAAATCAATTAATGTATAATTTTGGCAAGGCAGTTATCCAGTAAAGAAAGCACTTCAGATTTATAAACTCTTCCAGTCTCTGGAAGAGTTTGTTGTCTGTTGATTGAAATCAAATGCTCAGGCATAACTGGCTGGTTGCTGTAATTAGCCCACGATAGATGATGACAGTGCACTCCTAACAGAGCAGCTCAGGCAGTTCTTTCAGCTTGCTGCTGTTTGCTTCATCTGTGGCACATCTTTTGTTTTGTTAAAGATACTGAAGAAAACGTGACTTGTAAGGAAGCCACAAAAGCAAAATATTCTCCTGGTTTTCACTGAAGGGTTTTCGTGATTTTTATTACTGCCGGCTCTTTAAAAATAATTTATTTCTGCCTGATCAGTTCTGACTGTCTGATTCAGTGTGTGATGCAGCTGTTTGTGTGTGTTGGATGTTCAGGGCACCTTTACTCACTTGCTTTTTTCATGTCCCTTACAGAGAGGGAAGAAGCTGCTGTTGAAGTTTCTGAGGGGAACACCACAGCAGCAGCTGATGTGGACAAGAGAGTGAAGCGACGTTTGCTTATGGGTAAAAGTGCTGATTCCAAATAATTCTGCTGCTTGTTGAAACCTTTTAGTGTGGGGCATTTTTGGTTTTTTATGGTAGCATTCAACTCTGGGCTGAATTCTGCCTGAGATGATCCACTCTCTCTTAAGGAAATGATATTATTCCCTAATGTTCAGATATTTAAATGAATAGCCTTGTTTTCAAAAAAGAATGACAGAGGAAGAAAGAAGATGCACTCTGTCTTCCCTTGGAGGTTGGACACAGCCTGCCAATACTGCATGTGAGATGGGAGACTGGGAGGGAATAAAGCAGTAAAGCTCTCAAAACCTGGCAATAAATAGCATACACTCGATGCTGCAGAAAATGAAGATACAGAGCTAGAAAGTAGGTTTTGAAAAGCAGACATTAAAAAATGTTCTTTGCAGCTGTCCCAGTCAATACATGCTATGTAAAATTGTATTTGTCCAGCCAGTGAAAAGGTTGTTAGATGACTGAGGTGGTGAGACTGATGACAAGAGGATGAATTCCAAAGAGTGAGTTTTTTCTGTTTGATTGGATGTGAAGAAGTATTTTAGGAGTGTTCACTGGAAAGGTTTGGTGAGATTCAGACATAGTTTGCATAGGGAGGAGTTAGAGGAACAAACTTTGGTTGAAATGGCACCTGGGTTACCAGGTGAGGGTGTTATCCACCTTGACTGGGAGCACAGGTAGCACGGGAAGATGAGTCGGGAGGGATTTAAGAAAACTCCTTTAATAGTGCTGAGTGCAACCAGGTGTCTCACTGGTGGGAAGTGTCAGAGGATCAGCCAGGATTCAGTGTGGGCATAAGGAAACTGAGTGGCAGTAACAGACTCATCATCAAGGAGTGGGGATTTGTGTTTAAAATGGAATGGAATGGAATGGAATGGAATGGCCAGAAGACAGTATTTTGGTTGGTAGAGTTTCCACAAAAAAACCTGGGAATCGCTGAGGCAGGCTAAACGTTTGAACAGCAGTGTGCCTGGGCCCATGCCTTGTATCCACGATGTTTGTTGGTGCCGTGGTGATTTCCCTGAGGAAAGCTGAGCTCTGTCCATTGTGCAGAAACGTGCGCCGTGAACAACGGCGGCTGCGACCGCACCTGTAAGGACACGTCCACAGGAGTCCACTGCAGCTGCCCCGTGGGATTCACACTCCAGTTTGATGGCAAGACATGCAAAGGTGGGGTTTGTACTCCTGGGCACGTGTGCCAACACCTGAGAGGTGTTACCAGGTCCTGGAAGATATTAATCTCCAAATGGAGGTTGAGGGTTCCTTTATATCAGGTGTATCATGTGCAGAAAATCTCTTCTTGTCTGCCCTCCTGCTCTCCACTTCCACCTCCTGTGCCTCGTTTTTCAGAGATCAGGTTTGGGAGAGCTAAAACAAGCAGAAATCAGCACTGGCAGAGGCCAGCAGGTGTGGGGGTGCTCACAGGTATCCACTCCAATAGCCTGCTGTGCTACCCACAGCCAGCTGGGCATTAGAGCAGAAGTAAGAAAAATATCAGTGTGTGAACAGGGATGTGTTTTATAAATATGCACTGCTCCAAGCAGCTCTAATGAGAGCTCTGGCGAGGAGCAAAGGCACGGTTAGGCTGTAGATTATATTGCTTTTCCAGTAATTAGATTTTAACACTGTTCTGCTCAGCAAAAATGATGAAATCCCCAAGCCTGAGTCAATTAATATTAGATAAAGGCCTCATTCTAATATTGCCATGAAAAGGACAGAGCAGTTCAGGAAGGCTCTGTCTGAGATTTCTGCAGGGCTTACTAAAAGGAAATGGAGAGAATGTTTAAAATACTAAAACCTCTTAGAGAGCCTTGGAGTCAAAGTGTTTCCAAACAGAACTTAGGGAATGGTCTTTTATGAATGCATTACCCAAATGCAACTGACAGCAATATATGAAATGAGAGCAAATAACACTGTCCTGGGGCTGAGTGGGCTGGATCATTCTGAAGAGTTGGATCTGATCTTCCTTACAATTTGTGGTAGTCTCACTAGATTTTGTTTCTGGGCTCCTCCAACTGACTGGATGTGATTATTTTCTGAATCTGGCAGTGAGAGGAGGTTGAGTGCTGAAGCTTTGTGTTTATTTGCTGAAGCCTTTTTATTTTTTTTTGTTGTTGTTACAGATATTGATGAATGCCAGTCCAATAATGGAGGCTGTGATCATTTCTGTAAAAACACTGTTGGCAGTTTTGATTGCAGCTGCAGAAAAGGATTTAAATTATTAACAGATGAGAAGTCCTGTCAAGGTATGTGCACTGGAGAGACAATGGTACAACAGAAGTAGGACAAATCAGCGTGGCTTGGACATCTACTACAATGATGAAGTGATAATGGACTCCAGAATAATTTCCCTTCCTCAGTTTGGATTTTTTTCTTCTGAAACAGCTGTTGAGTTAATGCAGTTGGCTTGATGCTATTGTAGGAGATAAGTTTAATGGCACAGTGAGTTATTATCTGGAAGGGACAGAGACAGCATCATATTAAAAAACTCCCTATAAGGTTAATGCTTCCCCCCGCCTTAATGATCTTAAAATAATTTGCAGGGAAAATTAGGCAACGTCTCTCTCTCCATCTTTGACTGATTCACTACTGCAGTGAAACTGTTTTTTCTTAATAGGTTATTAATTGGCATGAGCTCATTATCAAAGGAAAAAGATATAATGTGATCTATGAAATTATAGGTCTGTAGACAGACTGGAATCTCTGTTCCTTAAAACACCATGGAGCATTTGCTATTGAGGGTGACATGGGTTTCTCCTGGTAGACCTACAAAGCATATTTGCTTTGCTGTACAGTGGTTTGTACATATAGATTTAGCAATCCTATTTAAGCTGCTTAAATGCACAAAAAAATGAGAAGATCGAAATGGTCTGTGGTTGTGGAAAAGCAACAGGATGAAACAATGTCAATTCAGTCAGCCAAATGGTGAATTATGTGATTTCCTAGGCAACCAGCTGACATTAAAGGTGAATTTCAGAAAACTGAATTGACCAAGAGAAGATAATTTTCACCTGGTTTTTTTGGTGTATTCTTATCCTTTATAAATAGGCAAAGAAGGACAGCTATTTATATGGAAAAACTTATTGTATAAACATCTGATTTTCAAGATAGTTTGGGGGTTTTGTTTTAATGAAATCTGTTTGTGAATGTATCTTAAAGACTTGCATCTCCCTTTTGCACCTGTCACTTCTGTTGCTTTCCCTAGACTGTTTCAAAAGTGATATCATGCTGCATGCCAAAGCCTAAGGAAAAAGACTGATGAAAAGTGCTAGAGAAGTTGATGTGAACATTTTTTGTGTCTTGCAGCATCCTTGCCTGGCATGCAAAATGTACTAGCACAGAAATTTTAGGTACTTTTGATGGTATAATGAGTGTTCATTCTCAGAGCACACTGTGATTTTCAGCAGGTTAAATCAGGCACTGTTTATTCATATAGAGCTTCATTTAGGGAGAAAAATACAAAGGCAATTCTTCCCTTTGTAGACTTCATTTCTGTGCAGAGTAATCCTAATGAAATAAGAGTTTTGTCAGCAGTTTTCTTCTCCCACAGAAGAGCAATAATTTGATTTAAACATCATTGTAAAAACGTGACAGCATTTTTTGCGCTTGCCAAGGAAAATCTTGATTGGCAAACTAAGCGCTCTTCTTAAAAACTCTCATTTCATTATGTTCCATGAGAGAACCTGCTTATCTGACACAAACCTGCAGGTCCCTGCAGTCGCTGGGCTGTGCTGGGGCTCCGTGCCAGGTTCTGATGCCTCTCTTTGAACCTTGCAGACATCGACGAGTGCTCCTTCGAGCGGGCGTGCGACCACACCTGCATCAACCACCCCGGCTCCTTCGAGTGCTCTTGCAACAAGGGGTACGCCCTGTATGGCTTCACACACTGTGGAGGTGAGTGACAGACACCCCACAGCCCCTGTGGCACAGGGATGCTGCCACTGGCCCTGCAGGACACGAACTGATGCAGACACAGGCACCCTGAGGAATGAATTTTAGCCCTTGCTGTGATAGTGAGGCGTAGAAAAAAAATAGAAGCTGGTCCCGCTTGTTTCTGTCTTTGCTCAAGTGATTTTTGCCTTTACACTGTGCATGCAAAAGGGATCTGTAACTGGCTTGTTTCTGAGTCCATAATTCAATAGTTTTCACATGCTGAAGAGTCATTGACTTCGGTGAAAAGTCAGTGGAGTAGGACTTGAAGAACAGGAGGCTCTGAATGACTGAGGATTATGGTTCTGCAGGCTGCTCTTGTGCACATGTCAGATCCTCCTGTGATGCAGGTTGGAATTTAGCTGATGTAGTACTACTTTACATGGGCCAAGATTAATACTCTTAAATTTTTATGGCTTTCCTACAAGAGCAGCTCAAGGAAAGAGAAAGTTGTTCATAGAAGCTCGACATGTAACAAATTCCCAGAATTAACATGAAGAAACATGAATAACTGGGACATTAAATGGAATCCAACTTGTTTTATGTAAGCTTTAGGCAAGACCTTACTGACTTCAAAATTTACTTTATTCTGAGTGAGACCTGTTTATTTCTGAGGCAGAATGAGCACAGTAGGAGATAACAATTCAGAAATCTCTGTGTGCCTGTTTATTCTCCCCTCTGCCTCTAGAAATTCTGCAAATAAGATTACAGGGCTACAGCATCACTGTGTTTTATCCTGATGAACATGGGAACTTACCTGGATAAGGAATAACACTGTCATGTGCTCTACTTAGTAAAAGACGACTTCTGATTAATTCCTCTGCATTAATTCAATCTCTTTTGGCTACCAGTGAGGAAAAGGAGCTGTAATTTTGCTGTTGGCTGCTAATTGGCCTTTTCTTGTCATACCCCCATGCAGAAGATGTTAATTCTCATAGCACATTAAGTCCCTCGTTTACTGGCAATCACTGGCTGTCAGAGCTGGTGGAATACTGAGAATACACCCTCTGACCTCTGTGGAAGAAGTCAGTAAGTGTTGGAGAGAAGAGGCTGGCATCCTAAGAAAAGGCCAATGAAAACCAAAGATTTGGGCTGATTTTGTGGTATTTTAGGCAACAGTACCAGTTTAAGGTGTTGCTTTCTTTCTCCATTATTCCTCTGCTGTTCATTCCTATCCCTGCTGCCTTGATTTTGTTAAAAACATATTCTCCTCCCAAATCACTCTGGCTTTGTAATGTGTTTCATAGTGTTTTCTAACCAATTGTTACTTAGAGGGTACCTGGTCTGGGGACAGCAGTGGCAAGAATTTACCAGCATTGAGATAAGTATGTGTGGAAGGAGGCAGCCTCAGATGCACAAACTTTATGGGACTTTCAACAGGTTTCTTGATGGCAGCTTTCTGGGTTTATGTACAACTGCCATAAAGTTATGGGAAAGAAGTGAAGCCCTCCTGAGGGTGGATCTGAGCAGCAAAGACAGAGACCTTTGCATTTTCCTTTGTTGAAATTCATAAGATTCCTATTGACCCATTTCTCCAGGCAGTCAAGGTCCCCCTGAATAGTGGCAGAACCATCTGGTGCATCAGCCACTCCTCCCAGTTTTGTCTCATCTGTGACTTGCTGTGGGTGAACTCTTGTCCCACCATCCAGGTTTAATGGAGAGGATAAATTGCATTGGCCCCAGTGCTGACCCCTGGCATGCAGCACTGCTGAATGCTGCATTCTGCATCAGCATGCAAGTTTGCACCAGAGGAAGCATGTGTTGTGTTGCCAGTAATTTCGCCTTCTACTGGCATTTATTGGGTGGGACAAGGCTCCAAAATTGGCCAAAAGAGACAAGGAGGACACAATGTTTGTCCACAGATCCAAAGTGTTCCACAGTGGTTGCATCTATCAGAGCACTTTGGAGGAGAATGAATCCTGCCCATATTCTCTGTCTTCATTTAAAAATAGAAATATCAATTAACCAGACACAGTGCAATACAGATTTGACTTGATCTGCTCTTCTTAGAGTTGATTTGTTATCATATTGCTGAGGCTGAATATTGTTTAATTATGAGCCACCAGTATTTGGTCTGTTTGACATTTTTCAAAGGATTTCCATGAAGACAAACTATTTCAAGGTAGGTCTAGGTAGCATTCCTGAAGTCTTTTCAAAACCCTACTGAGCAGTATTTGTGTCCACATTTACCTAGTGGAGTTAGAGTGCATAACTTTGGGAAGAGCAACTTTTAAAAGGTATCTTTACCTTTCCCCTGTAGATATTAATGAATGTAGCATCAACAATGGTGGCTGCCAGCAGCTGTGTGTGAACACACTGGGAGACTACGAATGCCTGTGTCACTCTAACTACAAGCTACACTGGAATAAAAAGGACTGTGTTGGTAAGGTGTCTAATAAATACATTTCTGCTCCTGATGTGTCTGGTGGGGCCATATGGTTGCAGTCAAATTTGATGGTCTGTCCAGTTAAGTGGTATGAGTCATTGTTCCTGGTATTCTGCTTTAATTTTTAGCGAGGCATGATGGTAGTGATGTTGAAACTCATCAAAACAAACAAAACCAACCCCAAAAACAGGAGATACTTTGAGGGATTTTGATGCTTTCTTTCCTGTGCTTTTATCTAGCTCATTCTTCTATTTCTTTTTGTTCCTCTGCATGAGAAGGTTTGCTCACGATAAAGGAAATCACTTTTGTGGTGTGATTTTATTTGGCTTGAATTTTCTGTCTAAACAGCATATGCATGGGTGCTCTCAGGTACCAGCTACAAAAGCAGCTGCATGCTGATTTATTGGTAGGGTGAAGGTAGATGTTTTAATTCTGTGAGTGTTTGTTTTATCCTATTTAGAGACAAAAGATCCCTTGTCTGATAATGTGTCACCCAAGGTACTGCTGCACTGCATTAAGAGTGGTGGGAGTGATAGATGCTTTTTGAGCTGCTCTCCAGATGTCCAGGTATTCTCTGGTAAGTCAGACCTAACAAAACTGAGCACGTGATTCTGTACAGAGTGTAAGGGTGGCCAACCTCCTAACTCTCAGGAAAGCCCCAAGGAGCAGTCAATAAACAGAGATCTTTGCTCTTTCACTGCAGATAATAAAGGGCTATATCCCTGACAGCGTCCAGGAAAGCCCCTCTTTCCTTGTCTTTTATAACCACTCTACCCACAGATTCCCTTCTCACAACAAGTCTCTTTTTGAAGCTGGGGAGGACAGGGAAGAATTCTCTGTGCTCCCTGGGCCATTCCTTAATTGGCCCTGAGAGGCACTGGTGAATGGGGCAAAGGCATTCCAGCCCTGCGTGGGGTCTGAGATTTTGGGCACACAGCCCCTCCATCCCACAGGACATGCCTGGTGCTTAGGGAATGATGTTCTTTCTCCTCCTGAATCCTTTGAGTGGCTTAGGAAGAGACAAGCTCTAATGTGGAGTATTTTGTCAACACCATGGTGTGTTGATGGCAATTAATGGGTGTAAACCATGTTTTATGCTAGAGGAGTCCTCAGTGTGTGCACTGTGCCTGTGTCTTTACTGTCTGTCTGTCTGTTAGGAACACAAGATGCCTACACCCTCACCTGTGGCAGGTCCTCTCAGCTTAAGAAAAAGCAGCAAAATGCAAACGCTTCCAGCTGGCTGGGTAATCACCACATTTACTGTTACATTGTTTGACTGATTTATTTTCATTGATAACTGTGAAACAAAGGTATTTCTGTTGACTTTTTCCTCCCCCTTATAATCTATCTCTTTTTTATTTCCTCTTCCTCATGACTGTTTCTTGTGATTACCACAGAAAATTCCCCTTGTGCTGCTTCATCCACATCATTCAATCTGAGACTTAAAAATTAAGAAAAAGATCAGTAGTGATCTAAGTGGACTCTAAGTAATTGCTTAGACCAGGACTTATGTCTCTTTTTATTCATCCAAACCTGGACAGTGTTGGCAACATACAATGTGTTTAAGTTGAGCTGTTGGACAGTAAAGTTTAGAAAGCATTTGCAGCCATTGACATAAACTACTTTCTACAATGATTTGGAGTATCTCCTTTGATTTCAGCTCGCCCTTATTTGATTCACCCAATAGTAGATCTGACCTTGATCTCCTTTCTCCTTCTCTCTTTCTAATTTTTTTTTGCTAATAAAATGTACTACACTTCATCCTAATTCCAGTTGTGAACCAGCTTCACAGAAAGATGGTTTTGGCATCTCATTAGGTTTTCTGTGATGATCATATCAGCACAATTTTTGTTGTCATCATTATGGTGTGATATTAGGGCTATCTCAATTTTCTAATCCTTTTAAAAAAATAAATTGTCATTGTTTCTTCCTGAAGATGCTTCAGCCATCAAGATAAGCGTAACCTTTAAATTAAATGAAGGAAAATGTAGTTTGAAAAAGACTGAGATGTTTCAAGAAGGTCTGGAGCAGATGACACCAGGTATGAGTATAAAAATGCAGGTAAGCAGGTTAGAGCCATAGCTCAGAGGTGAAGTGCTTTCCAGATATGCAGTGCACCACAAGAAAAGCATAGAGAACTGAAGGCCTTCTGTTCTTCATTCTTTCTGCTTGGCCATGGCTCTTGCAAAAGTTATTTCAGATCCCAGGATTTCCTTGTGGCATCCTCACAGTCTTGCTAGGAAAGCCATAAATTGTCAGTAAAATCAACCATTTTTTTTGTTAATTTGATTCCTTCCATTTCTTCCTCTTTTTCTCTTCTTTCCTTTCTCACCTGCTCCTTACTGTCTGATGCCTCATTGAAGAATCTCCTGACCTTTTATGCTGACTCCATTGTCAAAGGGTTATTCCTCTTTTCTCTTGTCTTCTTTTCATACTTCAGCAGCCCCAGATGGATGCAGTGAGGTCAGCTCTTCCATCTGTTCCAAAGCAGAAAGAATAGCCTGTGAATTTACAAAGTCAGCAGAAAATGAGGAGGAGTCCTTTAAAAAAAAAGGGGAAAAAAATGGAGAAAGGAGTCATTAAACAATATGACGAATCAGTGTGTCTGATTGTTTGTCCTTAGCAGAGTAACAGTGAGAAACTGTGCTGAATGCTCAGTGACAAGTAATGCACTCCAGAACCAGAGCTTATTCTGGGTGTTTCCTTTATCTAAACCTTATTTTCTCACTGAAGCCATGAGAATGGTCACGACTCTGTGTGAGGGTGCACCAGGTGAGAGGCTGGCCAAACTCTTCTTCTATTGGCACGTGGAGGTGATGGTTTGCTCCTCTTTAACTCTTCATGGTGACACTGAGCACTGGCGAATGTTCAATAACAGAGCTGGCCAAGCTTTTGCTTCCTTTGATTTTGTTCATACAGAGAGACAAAACTCAGTCATGGAGAGCTTCCACTATGTAAACCTAACATGCAGCTCTGGCAAGAAAGTCCATGGAGCCCTCAGTAGACTGACAGCGACTAGAGAGATTTTTATCACTGCGGACTTTGAGCTTGAAACGAGCCGCAAGGAGGTGACAGGTTGGTTGGAAAATAATTCCAGGTGCGGTTTGAAGCTTCTTGCCGTTTGCTCCTTAATTTCTGTATTTTTTCACTTCTGTCTGTATGCACAATGATGAGAAAAAGTATCTCCTGTTTTGAAAATTAATTTAACCTCTTCAGAAAGAGTGAGAGACGGGCACGGCTTCAAAGAGCTGCCCGGTGTATTTACCCTTGAGGATTTCAGATTTGTTCCCAGGTGTTTTCTCAGTGGTCTGAGTTGGTTGGTGTTGGGAACGGGCTGGGGTTCAGGGCACTTACAGCGGGCTCCGCCGCTGCTGCTTTGCAGACTCGTGCGACGTGCGCTGTGCGCGCAAGAAAACGGAGAAGCGGTTCCGTAAAACCATCCGGACCCTGCGCAGAACCGTCAGCAGGGACCAGTTCCGTGTCCGCCTCTCCGGCACGGACCACGAGGTGGCCAGGAAGGCTCCCAGGCCATCGGAGCCACAGCAGTCCTGTGCTGTGGGACAGCTGCATCCCAGATGTGGTGAGTCAGGAGGGAGTCGGGGATGGAGCACCGCGGGCTTTGCTCAGCTCGGGGGGATCGTGGCTCACTTGTCCAGGACAGAGGAGGCTTGGGTGGGCAGAGGTGGGGAGTGGTCTCAGTGCTGCTGAAATTCTCTCACCGAGTTTATTGTCAGCAATTGTTGTGGTACAGAGGAGAAGAAGGGCTGAGCTGCAGCTGATGTACAGCCTGCAATAAGCTCGGAGGCAAAAATCCTGGGAATGACATCAGGCACCAGCAGCCTTGACATCACTAATGTTACTTTTAAGACTACATTTAATATTCAGTGTAATGTTGTGTTCCTGAGCTTGTGCACCTCTCACCTCTCCCTCATCCCGAGGAAAAGACTGCTCAGGATTTGGTATAATCACGTTCCCTTTCCTAAGCTCAGAGTCCCAGAGTATCTTCATGACAGAGTTATAAATTCAGGGAGAGTTTATAGGCCATCACTGAGAAAAGTCTTAATTATCATGGCACTGGAGGGCACCACCATTATGCAGTCCATAGTAAATGCTTCCAAAGCACAAAAGTTAAGGAGAGGGGTCAGATGTTACATCTTAACAGAGACCTAACAACCGTGACGGCTGATTCAGGCTGCACGGGGCAGGCAGCGTGTAGGTGGATTGTGAATCAGCAAGCCTTTAAAATGCTTGTCACATTAAATTACTATGTCTTCCAGCACCAGCAGTTGGCCTAAGAATAGATTTTCCAATCCAGTTTTGCTAACTCTAGAAAAACTTGGGTTCGTAGAACAGACAAATCGTTTAAAACATCTGTGCAAGCAAGCAGGGAATTAGTCAGGAAATCTCGGAAAAAGCTGTAAGAGTTCTTTTTTTTTTATTCTTGGAACATTGCAATAAATCTGAAAAATTTTGGAGTGTTCACCAAGATGAGTTTACAAGGATATTTTCAAGCTATTTTGTGGGATGCTAGAGGAAGGCTTTGAGAAAATCTGTCAGTCCAATTGTACAGAACACAGTATGACTGAAAATATTTGTGATTTCATCTGGAAAAAACAGCAATGAGCAAGCTAAAAATGTTGCAGGTGGAGAAGGCAATGTGTATTACAATTGGAAATAGGAACAGAAAAGAAATACAATATTTTTTAGGTAGCTGCAGAACCAGTTTAATGTCGCAGCACAAATGAGAAGCATGAGTGGCATTTCTGTGCTAGTTCAGAGAGGAAAGGGAATTTTTTGGGCAATACCTGCCTGGGAAGCTCTTTGGTGTGATGAGCACAAACAGTTTGTCCATGTTTAAAACAGAATGACTGAGCATGTGAAGACAAAGGTTTTGAACAACAATTTATAGAAGTCAGGCCTCTTGTGTGGCTGAATTGGTGCCATGGTTTGTTCTGGACACCCTGACAGGTGCTGCTGTGAGCAGTGGAATGACCCCGTGTGTCTCATGCCTGATGGTTTGATTATTTACTCATGCCTAACAAGGTGCAATCACTAAATGAACCTTCCTTTCTTCAGCTGAATTATTCAGACCATTCCCTTGTGTAGATTTGCTGTGATCAAACGGGAGGTGGAACTCGCACCGCAGTTTTTCACTTACACGGATGTTTAGATCTCTCTCCTTGCACTTCCATCAGTAGTGTAGATTTCATTATATGGACAGAAAATTAGTATCTTTGAAAACTCCCTACATCACTTGTCAGGCTGGTGGGAGCTGGGCAGGCAGCTCCCTGTTGCTGAGAGGACATAAAAGTACACACAGTGCTGTTAGGAACGCCTCATTTCCTTAGAAAAAGCTGATTGTCCCAGGGTGAATGGTTAAGGTAAGACTGGGGGCTGCTGCTTGCACTGCCAATCAGAGGGAGCTGAGAAACACGCTGGGGAGAGGAGAATAGAGTGGGAATAGTGTGAAGAAAGGCAAGAAGCTCGTTCAGGGATCTGTGTGGGAGAGGGTGTTTTGGTTTTTGTTCCTTTATTTTGATGTAATTGTTTTGTAGAGCTGCTTGGGAACTTCTGGATGGGATTTGGGGTCTGCTTACCAAGTGGTTCTGGGGAGAAAGTGGCTCCACAGGAAGAGATACTGGTCAGCAGATGGATTCAGTGCAGCTGGTGGATGTGGCCTCTGGACAGCAAAGGACTTTGGCAAAAGGATTTTGCTCAGTCTGGCCAGGGGAGTAGGGAGCAGTGAGGGAACAAAGCAAGTCAAAGGGACTTACAAGTCTTCCTTGATGCAGTTACTGAGTGAAGTGCAGGTTTTAGTTCATTGTTTTCAAGTACTTGGAGTATGGCTAGGTTAGATACAGTTTTGTTTATTCAGAGGGTTTTGTGCTGGTCCTCTTCCAGTGGTAGAATTCTCCTGGCACAGCACTGTCTGAAGCATTATTGATATTTGAGCAGTGTCAGAGGGAAAGTCCAGTCCGACTCCTGCTCTGACTTTTCTGCTGGGTAACTGGCCTGCAATTGCAGCAGCAAGATAAGTTTCATTTGTTTTCACACTTCTGGTGAGGTAGTTCTATCCCTGATTTTTCTGTCTTAACTCCTACGGTCTTGAGTGGGGCACAGTGCAGAAGAAAAGCTTTAGAAAGGCACCAGGAACAAATTGCATGTGGTCTCCAGGTTATTCTATCATTATTAATATGCTGGATGCTTGCACTTGTGGGCCTGCTGTTCTTTAAACAGCTATTGGTGGTAAAAGGGAATTCACTGCTGATTCCAAGGAGTAGTGTAGTTTATTTCAACTTTGCTGTTTATTGTACAGTTCTGTTGGGGATTTTCTGATGCTTTAAAGGCTCAAATATTGCATTTTTCTACCTTGTTATGTGTGAGCTCTGTATCTATGATGAGCCCATTCAGCGCTGGCTCATGTTGGTTAATCCCATAAAATCCTGAGTATGGCATCCAAGGAGAAACCAGTGATAAAAATGATAATCATAATCATGGATATCACATGAAATGCATATGGCAAAATGGAACTTTCATCAACCTGCCCAGAGAACTGGATTCTCTTAGCAGGAGTGTGATTTTCCTGCATTGAAGTAGATCTCAAGGTAATAAATATTCATTTTGGAATGTCAGTGCATCAGGGTGTGAACCCTCTGAGCATGCTGGAAATGCTGCATGCTTCCCTGAGGGAGATTTGTCTCGGGGAGAATGCAGCTTCACTCACTAGCCTGGCTACCAGAGTTCCTTCTGCAGTGTGAGCTTGACTTCAGAGAGATTTAATAGCCAAAGACCAACTGGTTAAATACTACCAATTCCTTTGCAGTAAGTGATTTACCAGAAACCTCTGTATTGAAAGAAAATAAGTTCAAACAGCAAACAACTTAGCTGCTCTTCCACTGCTTAAAACTGGCACACCTTGATCACATCCCACGGCATCAAAAGTACACCTTGCCTGCTCCATTTGTTTGTTTTTGTTTGTTTGTTTGTTTGTTTGTTTGTTTGTTTTTTTTGTGTTGGACACACCAGTACTTTCAGAGGTGGAAGGAGGCACTGAGAATTACCATTTCCTGAAATGGATGCAGAAAAAAGGACATGACAGCATGTCCTTGCTCCACAGTAGCTGCAAAGTGGATTCCCCCAAAGAGCTGTCACTTCAGAGAACAGCAGGCATGAGCAGCACTGGCACAGGCACTGCTCTGATGTAAGTGATGAGCAGCTTCATCTTGTGTAGGAGGTGTCAGTGCATTTCATTGCTCAGCATTCAGCAGCCTTGTCCCCTCAGCTGAGAGCATGCAAAGGAGATAAAAGCATTTCATCCAAAATGATGAGCCACATCTCAAAGGTTTGGATGTGCTATGATAGTGGCATTATAAAAGTATGAGAGAGTATCTAAAAGGAAAAGCAAAGTGCTGCTTGCCTTTACAGTTGTTATAATTAATATTTGTGTTACACAACTGTTGCTGTTTGTTTTTTGGTTTTTTTTTTTACAATTTCATGAATATTCAAGAGGAAGAAATGAATTATCAAATGGGGAAAAAGAGTGCTATTTTTCCTGCTAACCTGCTTGCCCTGAAAATCATAGATTCAACACATAAATCCTCAGAATGGGTTACCATCTCATGTGACCTAAATGTGTGACCTGCTAAAACACAATAACTTAAAGGATGCCGCTTCAGAATCAATTTGCATCACTTGTTGCTGATTTTCCTTATAAAGTCAAGGCATCATTCTTAAGAAAATGGTGAATTGGTGGATCATGACCTCCTTTATGAGGTTCACCTTCTCAGCCCCTGAGATACTACAGCATTTGTCTATAGGAGCAAATGCTCAAAGGCTAATGTGTTCAAAAGAGGAGAAGAGCCTTTAAATGTCTTTGTAACTGTTAATCCTGATTCCCTGTGGGCCCCTCTCTTCCCCCCCACCCCCCTTTGCTTCTTGTTTTTGCATCAGAAAAGCTTTCACTTTTTTTCCCCCTCTTTAAAACAGCTGCATGAGACTCAAGACCAGGTTTTTAATGGGTATTGAAGATAAACAAAGAAATGGCTGCACAAATGAAGTCTACTAGAGGCAATTGTTTCTTTTGTTCATTTGGAGAAAAACAATCAAGGTTCTGAAAAAAAAAGAGCAAAACCAGCCAGTGGAATTGTGGTTTAATGTCATTATTTGCAAATCTTCAGATCTGGTTTTGACTGGGTATTTCCCACATGTCGGGTGCGTGCAGTTTCTGGTTTTGAAAAATGAAGCTCATAAACTTCTGTACTTGTTTTCTCTAAGCAAATCCCTGGAAAAGTTTAACTTCATAGAGGTATTCCTTGTGGATTTTTGTTAATTTTGTTGGGCTTTTTTTTAAGAGAAGGTTCATCCTAGTTTTATGCACAGTCCTATGGAGTTCTGTGGGATGATTTCTGTGTTGAAATAATGCCCCTATTATTAATGTTGCTATAATTGAAGCTAACACTATTTGTTATGCTAAACTGGGTCCCTGTGAATGCTGTGAGCTTCTAAACAGGCTTTCCTCAGCTCTGTGCTCCAGTGGGGCTGGATGAGTGGCCAGTTTGAAACATTTCTAGGTGGAAGATGAACTGGGAGCAGTTTACAGGGAATGTGTTTATGGATAGAACTGTCTGGACACTTGTACCACTGTGAAAAGCTTGATTTGATGTAGTCATGTGAAGAAACAGATATATTCATGAGTTTGAGGCATTAAAACTGGAGTAATTCTAATATTTGCATTGAATATTGAGTACTTGCTAGACTGCAAATAGCAAAATCTGTATGTGGGTGTACTGACCTCTTTTCTCAAATGCACATAGGATCAATCAAAGCCCGAAGTGTTTGGTGTGTCTCAGAAGTCAGAGCTTTTTTCAGCTGGTTTTGAACACCCTGTTACAGTGCTGCAGTGATGGTAGCTGGATAAACTTTTTTCTTTCTGTTGTTGCCAATTCTTAGGAAAATCAGAAGGAAGTACTCAACTCAAATGGTTCAGATTTAATGGAAAAGTTTTCCTTTTGCCCAGATTGAGAATCTCAGTGATGTCTGAGGAGGTTTTTTAAAGTTTACTTCCTCAATGCAAGTTTTCAAGAATTAGGCACTTTGCTAAATAACCCAAGAAGATTTAGGTTAACTCAGTTGTATTCCACAGGGAGCTCCACAATTTTCACAACATGTGGTTTCAAGGTAAGCAAGATGCAGATGGTAAAGCTGTCAAGAGAGATCTGATGGGATAAGTTCTCAAATGCAACATTTCCACATAAGTTGTGGGTTTAATTCCTGCCTGGGGCAGGTTTCCTTTGGGCTCTGATAGATTTCCTACTCTTCTGCTGGACTCTGAGCAAGTTTAGGAAACCTCAAGTACAGTTTTAAGACTGAATTTGTAGGGTCAGTGTTTCTGTTCAAAACACAGAATAGAGACACCCCTTTTCCCAAATGCAAAAAAGAAAAGAAACAAACAAAAAAACTCCAAACCACCCCAAACTTGACATGTGATTAAAATGAATGGAAAAAGACAAGCTAAGGGGAGAGAGCAGAAAACAGATAATTTCTAGCAAGGCCACTCAGAGCATTGATTTCCCACAGAGCCATGGAGCTGCTCAGGTCTTTCCATTCCTTCTAGGTTTCTGAATTCAGTAGGCACTTCTCAGAATCACCTTTCCTAACCCTGAATTGTCTTTCCTTGTCCTGGAATTGTAAATAGTGCTCTTTCCTTACCTTATTAGGAGTGCTGCAATGAAAGCCTGAATTCATTCATGTTGGTGGAAGTGCACAAATTGTACAGAGATGAGTGTTCTCTAGGAATGTTTATAAAATAGAGAAAGGCTTGAGAAGTGTGGGAGCAAATGAATGTGTGTCCTTATGAGGGCAGAAGTGATGTGTGGTGGAAAAAGTTAGAACCAGGAGCTAAGACTTCCTCACAAGCTTTCATTGATCAGCCACAGAGCACTGCTTAACCTGCTGCATTTTATTTTTAAGCTAAGGAGGAACACTCAACTATTCCTCTTGGTGTATCAGCCATAAACAAAACTCTTCATCATTGATCATGACCGGTAGTTAATGCCCTGCTTGTTGTTAGTCATATATCCTGAAATGAAGCCAAGGCCAATTTAACTTCCTAACAAAACAGCTATTCACTGGGTGATTTATTGGAGCTATAAACTAAAACTAACAGTTTATTATCGTAACAGGTCTTAAAAGGACAGAATTTTTCAGCACAGCTGAACAACTGCAACAGTGTTTTGTGCCTTTCCAGAGCAGGGTAATTATTAAATACTGGCACTGAAGCCAGTTCTTTTGTGAAAAGTTTGGAAACCAGAACTTTTCGAAGATACTCATGGATATTGCTGGGCTTGCTAGATCATACTGAGGTGTGTGATTAACTAAAATCAGTCAGATTGGGTTAGTGCTGTCTGTGCACCATGCACAATGCAGCAGTCCAGTGCACAGATAAAAATTACCCAAGATCCAGTATCAGAGGAATGGCAAGGATATTTCTACAAGTATTTTATTGCTACAAGTCTTTGAGGCATAATGTTTTATGCCTCATTTTTTGTGTGTTTTTATGCCTATTTTTATTAAAAGTCTTTGAGGCATAATGTTTAGTTTACTGAATTTGCACAATCAGTTGTTGCCCTTTCACACAATCCAGTAATGCTAATGGTCATGAAATATGAATATTCAATAATATTAAGATTACAGTACTTACAGAAATCTGGAAGTACGTTTTTGGCATCTTAGGTTCAATACTAAATTATTCCATTTGGGAGGAGTTCAAGAGCTCTCTAGCTAGCATGAGGAGATAATCATTAGGTAATTGCACTGTACAGATGAGCAGAGAGCACTGGACAGGCTGAGTGTCCTTGCACCAAAGTGTGAAATCCATCCCAGCTCCCAGAAGAGCTCACTAGCACTGAAGGCTGTAAATGGGTTAGCTGCACCATTAATTAGTGGCTTGTCTTCATTTTCTTCACTCAGAGTCAGGATTAAAAACACGGAGGAGATGAATTTTCTCATGTTTCAGGCTTGGTTGTTTATTAAATCTTTTCTAAAGTACAGAGAGCTCTGCAACACTTCCAGCCACCAGCTAAAAGTGAGCAAAATGGAGCTGAATCGAGCTGGTTACAAGGTCTTTTAAAACTAAACAGTCCAATAAAGAGCTAACACCTTTATTATTTATACTTTTGACCCAATAACCAAACTCCTGTGACCCACTGTGCAGCACCAACTGTCCAACCAAAAACTACAACCTGAAATCATGAAGAAGAAGGAAGAAGAAGACAGAAAGAGACAATGCCCAAGAACCTCCATCTTGTCCCATACCATTACTATATTCTAAAACCCCAAACTCAAAACCCTTCACCATGTGAAATCACACACTTCCATTCTAACTACACACCCGTGATTTTTAACTCCATCACTCAAATTTTGGAAGCCTTCTCCAAGGCCTCAGGTCAAAAGCAGTGTTCTCCTGGTTGTCAGTGTCAGAAAGCACAGAAAGTTCAAAACTCCCAGGCTTCAGGGTTCCAACAGAAGGCTGTGGGGGTGTATGCTGGGCTTTGCACCATTTATTAGTGGTTTGTCATCAGTCTCATCTGTTTTCCCTCTGAGCCAGGATTATTACAAAGGCGATTGAGATGGTTTCTTGTTTTTGGGCTTGGATGTTTATTGTATCTTATCAAAGAATTACAGAAAGTACAACAGCACCTCCAGCTCCTTGCTAGAAGTGGGAAAAAATGGCTCCAGCTGAGCTGAGGACAAATATATATATAAATATATAATAAATATATATATATATAAAAGGCTTCAAGGCCTTTTAAAGCTCTACAAACCAATAGAGGTTTAACACCTCTATTATTTATCCTTTTGACCCAATAATAGACTCCCATGACCCTTAGGGTGACATTAGACTGACCAACCAAAGGTTACTGCCTGAGTTCTGTGAAGAAGAAGGAAGAAGAACAAAGAAAAAGACACCACCCAAAATTCTCCATCTTGTCCCATAACCACCACTATACTAAAGCTCAAAAACTCCAGATCCCTGAGCTCCAACAGGCTATCAGGGTCTGCTTTACAGTGCCCAATGAAGGTGTTGCACATTAAGCTGTAGCTGTTGCCAGCATTCCTTTCTGGAGCCCTGGTTCATTTCTGGCTCCAGCTGCCCCAGTAAAGGAGAGCAGTTTCTCTGTGGTTGCAGGCTCACTCACACATATAATCATAATATCATCCTATATAATGTGTGTTATGTATCATCTATATAATGATGATCTGTATCACATCATCTCTAACGTGTGTTCTTTCTCTCCTAGATCAGTGCTCCCCTGGTGAATATTCCCCTGATGGCTTCAAGCCCTGTGTGCCATGTCCCCTTGGAACATACCAGCCTGAGGCTGGCAGAGTGTCCTGCTTTCCCTGTGGAGGGGGTCTAACCACAAGGCACAGTGGGGCATCCTTGTTTCAGGACTGTGAGACCAAAGGTGAGGCCAGGATGGAGCTGATGAAATGCATTGGTCCAAGGCAAAAGGAAATGCTGCTGCTCAAGTGGGGCATTCAGAGAAGGTTCTTTGTCCTTCTGAGGGTCAGTCCTTCCAGGAATCTCATAGCTGGGTGGCCTGGCCTGGCTGTGAGGAAATTCAGTAAAGCCTCAATTCTTTCTAAAACTGATTACCAACAGCATGGGTAAAAGAAAATTACTTCTATAGATCACTAGAGGATGAAATCTTTAACAGGAAATCTGCTGCTGCAGAGCAGAAATGAGGGATAGAATTAAGTCCTGATACAAACATTTGGTAATGGTTTGGAATAAGAGATCTCCCTCGTTTCAGTTAAGATATGTTTATTGAAAATTACAACATACTATAAGAATTCAGCAGTATCATTGAAGAATTAATATTACTGGTTGTAGTGTGATATCTAAGAGTTTCCTTCAGTGTAGAATCACTGAACCCAAAAATACTGTTTATTCATACTTAATTTTGTGCAATTGAAGTACTAAAAAATGATGTTAAAACTCTGGATCAAGATAAGAGGACCTGATTTCAGTTTTATTTAACATAAACCAAAACAAGTCTATAAATGAGGTTCAGTTTTCAAATTGGAGTGGAGATTAAAGGAATTCTTTCTATTAACTGGAATGAAGAGCTCAGGAATTTGCATGTGGAAGAGGCCACATGAGACGTGGAATCACAGATGCAAGAACTATTTGGAGCTTATCTGAAGCATTTGGATTTGGACTCCTGGCTGAGCTAGCTTCCAAAACTCAGCAAGAATGATTTGGGAGTAAGCAGAGCTTAAAAGGAATAGAGGAAAGGAACTGTGCAGCATAGAAAACTACATTTGATGGTAGATCTTTTCAACTTGCACAAAATAACCTGGTAAACTGAAATAGTTTTGTTACCCTCATGGCTTATTTATATAGTTTTATTGCTGCTTTTACACAGAAAGACTCTAGAGTGTTGCATTTGGGAATTTTGAACTTGCACAAAATGACCCGATGAACTAAAATTTGCTTAATTACCTCTTTTTTTGTTGCCTCCACAGTTTATTAATGTGGCATTTCAGTTTCTGAAATTACACTAGGTCTTACACAAATGTGTGAAAGCATATTCTTTTAAAACCATGATTATTTAATTACTGTCCAGTTCAGTGTTCTCCTGGCCATTTTTACAACACCACAACCCACCGATGTATTCGCTGTGCAATTGGGACATACCAGCCTGAGTTTGGACAAAATTACTGCATTTCCTGCCCTGGAAACACCACTACTGATTTTGATGGCTCGACAAACATTACACAGTGCAAAAGTAAGTACAGCAAGGTGGCTCTGATGCTCTCTTACAAATAAAAAGACTGGGACATTAATATTTGGAGTGGCCCTAAGGGCCAAACTTAGCTTTGCTCCAGGGAACTGGAGAAAAGGCAGAGGTTGCTCCTCTTTTGCTGCCTGCATCTCACCCCCACATGGCTCACTGAGGTCTGTGAGAGATCATTTCTGCAGGCTGGTTCCATCCTCCTTGTCAGGGAAAGTGATGATTTCGTTTTGCCAGCTGGTGCTGGGTTGCTTGGGGTCTTGCTATTCAATCTTTTCTCTCTTGATATAGCAGAGTTTGTGTCCTCAGCACCCTGATTTGTTCCCTCTGGCTCACAAAGTTTAATAGCTCTAGTAACCATTTCTTCTTAATAACAACCTTTGAAGGAGTCAGTTACAGAGGGAGCCACTGTTCTGGATTTATGGTAGCTGTGGTGTGGGAAGCTGGGGGTGAATTAAAGAGGGAGGATGGAGGGCAGAGAGGTGACTGCTCAGAAGCACTTCTGGAGTGCCTGTATACACACAGAGGTATGCAAACACACCCACACAGAAATGTGAGAGGCTGGCAAAGAGAACTGTACCTGCAGCAGAGGCAGAAAGGAAAATGTGTGTCTGTCACCCGTGCAGCTGATGGTGACTGCAGGAGAGCTGCAGGGTGACCTCTCTTTGCCCTGTCCTGCATGCTGTGCTCCTTTTCCAGACAGGCAGTGTGGAGGGGAACTGGGAGACTACACTGGATATATTGAATCACCCAACTACCCTGGGGACTACCCTGCAAACACTGAGTGCACCTGGAATATCAACCCACCTCCAAAGCGCCGCATCCTGATCGTGGTTCCAGAAATATTCCTGCCCATAGAGGACGAGTGTGGAGACTACCTGGTGATGAGGAAAAGCTGTGAGTCTGAAACAGCCACTGAGGCATGTCTCAGTGGGCAGCACAGGGCTCTCACAGGCATTGCTGTTTGCAGAAACTCAATGTAGCCTGCCTGGCCTCTACTAAAGAGCAGAAATGTCTTTAAATGGCAAATGGAGAAATCCTATTCTATCCTATGCTGCCCCATAGTTTTCAGTGAAACAGGGGTGCAAGGGCACGATGTGCCAGTGAACTGAGAGAAATATTGTTAAGGGGTAGGTGGTTCAAGCTAACCAGTCATGCATTATGCTAAGCAGTTCTAGCCTGGGTTAGGAAAGAGGAAATGCTTGCTAATCCTTACAGGTGCCTGATGTGTGGATAAAAACAACCTCAGTTTCTAGTATAGGCACGTCCTTCAAGCAGTAGACTGTTTTCTTAGGAAAAGGGAAAATATTCCCTCACCAAGAAGTCCCTCATTGATGGCCTGCCATCCTCTGATGGCCTGCCACGTTTGGAGGAGTTTTCTGAACACCAGCAAGCATTTATCTCATGGTAATTCAGCCCGTGTTGTAGCAGCTCTTCAGTGGAAGCATTGTCACACACCTGCCTGTTGTGTGCTTGCTTTGAAAGCTTCCTCCAACTCGGTGACCACGTACGAGACCTGCCAGACCTACGAGCGCCCCATAGCCTTCACCTCCAGGTCCAAGAAACTCTGGATCCAGTTCAAGTCCAACGAAGGCAACAGTGCCAAGGGATTCCAAGTTCCTTATGTAACCTATGATGGTGAGTGGGTGTGAGCAGCTGGGCTGGTGCAGAGCTCCCCTCCCTAAGCAGCAGGGCAGCCCAGCAGTGTCTCCAGCAGCTGCTTCCAGGAGCTGCTTCATGAAAAACATAATTTAAGGAATTCTGCAGTGCACTGCAGCCTTTGGAGTGCCACCGTGTTTTCCAAACAAAAATTGAAGTTCTGGGCTCTGGCCTGCAAATTACAGAGCTCAGAGATAGAATCTGCATTTTATGCACTTCTGTGCCTTTCCATTTCCTTCGGGTGGCCCCAGTTAGGAATTAGGTAGAGCCCAAGTACCTGTGTTTTATAGTGTTCCTGCTACCATTTGTGACCTAGAATCAGACAGCAAAATATCTATATTGAAAAGAAGCTTGAGGGGAAAGATTTTCACCTCACCCTTGTCAGAATCACGAGGTGTGAAACTGGAGCTGAGGATTTGCACTTCAGCATAAGTGAAGTGATATTTTATGTTTTCTGTTCACACTGGATTAATTGTGAGGGACTCATCCCTGCTGTGGTCTGCACAGCTTCACTAGTGGTGGATAAGTAATTTTTCAGAGGAGATCTCTCCTTTTGAAGATTTTCAGGTCATGATTGACCAGGGGGGTTACTTTTAAGAAAGCATCCTCTTACATAATCTTTTTATTCCTTCTTCCTGTAAGAAGAAGGCAGTAAGAGGTTGTGGGTGTGTACAGAAGGGTTCCTGCAGCTCAGCTGGTGTGAGGCAGGTTATTTGGTTACTGTAGGCACTCCAGCCTTGGGTGCTTTATGATTTCCTTTGCTTTTGACAGATTGATGCTGAGCAGCTCAGCAGAGCACACTGCTCTCATAATAAGAAGAAAAGTGTTTGGAATATTTTCTGATTGCTAATGTGAGGGCCAAGTACTGCTGGTTCTTCTGAGGGCAGGGCTTCCATGTGTATTGAGGCTGTCAGTGAAGTGAACCTGCAAATTCCTCTCTTGTGCATTCCCCACAGAGGATTACCAGGAGCTAATAGAGGACATTGTTCGGGATGGCAGACTTTATGCATCTGAAAATCATCAAGAAATACTTAAGGTACATTCCTTCCACTAGACACGTTGGTTTTGATTGGAAATTATATAATTTGGTGAGAGTGAGTTTGTGTCCTGCACTGCATCAGGTCTTGTTCCTTGGTGCACCAGACATATGCTGCCTCAGGGAAATGGGGAAAATCAGCAGATCCTGGTGGTGCAGAGCAGTGGATAAGGCACTCTTTGCTCAGGGGATTGAAGGTGGATCAGAACTACCAGGGAAATTAATTTATTGGGAAAGCACTTTGTGCTGCTCCTTGTAGCCTGTAGATTAGAAAAGGCTTTTCCTCCCTGGGTGAAAGAAATCTCTTTGTGGATTTCTCTGACCTTGCTTAGGGGACTTCCACAGGCAAGTTGAGTGCATGCCTTTGCTTTGCTGGATATCAGCTCAAGTGTGTGTTTGTTTTATGGTTTGTTTACTGCTTTGCTGTTCTTGGATGTATGAGGAGGGAAGAAATTCTGGAGCTGCTAATGTGGAACACCAGTGACTTTCCAGGAGCCTGAAAGTTAGCCTTGCTCTGTTACATTTCTAAGCCCCTGACACACTTGAAAAATAAAATGCCCATAATATTTTTTGAGTTAGGCAGGCATTAAACTTTGATAATACTGACAATAACTCCTCTGTGGAGCTACTATAAAATCTGCTTCCCTTTTCCCAGGACAAGAAGCTGATAAAAGCATTGTTTGACGTGCTGGCACATCCACAGAACTACTTCAAATACACAGCCCAAGAGTCAAGAGAGATGTTCCCGAGATCCTTCATCCGGCTGCTGCGCTCCAAAGTTTCCAGATTTTTGAGGCCTTACAAATAATTGGCACTGTACTGACAAGCTAAAGCAGCCCTGGACATGCACAGAGGGGCTGTGGGAGGTGGGGCTGCTTTCTGTGTTTTACACACTTGGCAGAGACACTCCAGGGAAGCTCGCCAGCTCCGTTCTTGGCAGAGTTTGGCTTTCTCAGCTCATATAAATATTTTGGTGAACAGAATTTTGATTCCTTTCCAGATAATACCTTTTGGGTACCAAAGGATACTTCACAGTGCCAGAATTGGAGACTGCCCATGATTTCTGTAACTGAATGGTGCCAAGCAGAAGTTTGTAGAGCTCTGCCCCGTTGCTTCATCAGCACCTCTAAAAGTTAATGAGGACAGACAGGCTAAGTAGTGTGGTTTGGGATGAACCCTGGGCTGCCTTTAATGCATGTTACCTCAACAAAGCTGGGTTCATGTTTGGTCTCACTGAAAGTGAGAACAGGATTGATGTCTCTCTTAACATTTGCTACACAGGAAACTCAGAGCTAAGGTTGACATTAAGGTTTAAATTCAAACCAGTGAGGCCAAGAGCTGCACAAAGTGCAGTTTTTCCCTGAACTACATGTGGCATGGAGCAAAGGGTTGAATACCAGCTTCAATGTTCAGGTGTCCATGCTAGTGACCTATTGGCTTACATGGAATGATACCAGAATAAACTGTGGGCACCACAGCAATGGAAAACAGGCCCTGACCCACTGGACATTTCCATTTTGGGCTGTCTGCAACTGTTAGAACAGATTATTTCCTAAATCCCAGCGTTGTCCCTGTGCATAGGCCTGGGACAGCCAAAGGCATCTTCCAAGTTGTGTAAAATTCTGTCCTCTGAGCAGCTGCAGGTAAACACAGAAGCCCCATTTTAAATGCAGGCTTTGCATAGATGATGCTCTTGGTACAACACTGTTTAAAGATGAATAAGGTTCTTGTATGAGCCTCAGTTGTTACATTCTCTACCTTTTCTGAGCACCTTGCAATGGCCTTGTTGAGCAGAGAAGAGCTGCTTTCCTTGTCTGGCTGGAGAGAAGGAGAGGTACAACAATTGAGCCAGACTGTGGCCAAAAAAGTTGTCTATGGCAAATTGTTCCTCAGGATTCCCAGGCTCTGTGTCCTTCTCCTCAGGCTGTGTTTCCTATTGGAGACCAGGCTATTCTGAGAGGGCCTGTAAGGAAATCTGAGTTGATCAAAATGTTGTCTCAGTGATATTCTGTCCACACTTACATCTCCTCTGGCCACACAACCCATTCTCTCAGAGTAATGTACCTTGAGGACCTTGTGCTTTGAAGGGAGATAGCCACAGTCCCATCCATTTGGAAATGGACTCATGACTTCTGTCTTTTGGTCACTGGCCATGCCAAGGGGTGCAGTGGGCACCAAACTCCCTCTCTGTGCCATCTTAGGAACGGTGCTCACATTTCACAGGGTAGCCAGGACAAATTTCCCAGGGTGTGGAGTCAGACCTGCTGGGTCTCATGGCATTGCCATGTGGTATTTAACTGCTGTATGTGAATAACACCGTGTCCACAGGGGGACAGAGGAAACCCTCACCAAGAGCCGGGCTCTGAATCTCCTCCCTGCACTGTTGGGAGCCAAGGGCTGCTCCTGCCTCAGCCTTGCTGAGCTGCTGTGCCACGGTGTGTGTGGGGCAGGGACACATCTTGGCCATGGTGGGATCCTTGGAGGGATGATGGCTGGGGAGCAGAGCCTCTCAGGATGGGGCTGTGTGGTGCTGCTGGGGAGATGTTGCCAGGCCTGGCCAGAGGTGGGAAATGGTTTGTGCTGCTGCCAGGAGGGAGAGCTGTGTCTCCCAGCTGCTCTGGGGCTCCAGCAGAGCTGGGGGCTGTCTGTGGCAGGGCAGGGAGTGCCCACTCCAGGAGCAGCCTGCAGCAAGAGCAGCGAGGCACAGAGAGCTGGCAGAGCAGAGGGGAAGGGACACAGCTCCCTGTGTGCTCCTGGCAGCTCTGCTTCCTCCTGAGCAGGGTCCCTGTGGGGACAGGGGACAGGGCTGTGTGGCAGAGGGCACAGAGCAGCGTGCCTGGGGAGGGCGATGGCTGAGCAATGCCAAAAGAGCAGGAAGGCGGCTGAGAGGCTCTGCAGCATCCATGCCGTCCTGGACAGAGCCCAGGGAGGTATTTCCAGAGAGTTTCCCCGTGGCTGCCCAGCCCCTAGCCCCATGCCAGATGCAGTGTGCCAGCGACCCCAGCGAGCCACCAGCCACCCCTGCGTGGCTCTGGGCACTCTGGAGGTGCTGCAGCCCTGCTCTGGTGCTGGGCACTGTGGGGACAGGGCCATGGTGTGCCAGCCTCTGGGCCAAGCCCAGCGCAGGGGCTTTGCTGCCAGAGAGGGGCTGCATGCTCAGAGCCAAGGGAAAACAGGGCAGGTGTGGCTGTGCCCCCTGCCCGGGGGGCTGCAGGTGTGCACAGCTCAGGGACACACGTGCCAGTGGCTGGTGTCAAGCAGGGCTCGAGGCAGCCAAAGCTGTGAGACGTCCAGATGTTTCTGATGGTGGGACTGGGCTCTGTGCACTGACCTGTGCTCTGGGTTTATCCCACTGCACCTGCTCCCCCAGTCCTGCTGTGCCAGCTGTGCACAGCTGCCTGGGACCCACAGCCATCCCAGCTTTGCTTCTCCTGCCCCACAGTGAGCACAGGCCATTCCCACTGCTGGGAGGAGAGGGGTGGGCACGGTCTGAGGTGAGGAGAGGACCTGCCCTTCCTCAGAGAGCAATCCCCATTGTTCCACAGCCCCGTTCCTTTCCTGCTTAAACAGCAAACGGCTCAGAAGCACTTCTGTTACCCTTGATCTGACATGATGGATCAAAATTTCCCCTTTTACTGTAATTCCTGTCTGCACAGTAAAAAGTGAAGAGGGAATTTTTGCTACCTTGAATGCTGGGAGAATTGATAACTTACAGAATGTTGTAAACACTTGGCATTGTGTCTTCATAGTGATGGTAGTGGCTCTGTAGAAATTTCAGTTTCTACTTTCTGTGTGGTTGTAGACTTGATGTGTTTTGGCAACAAATGATTCAAAAAATGTTTAACCTTATAAAACAAGATTTGATTTTTGGAATAATAAATAATTAGTGCTAACTGGATGACTCAATGTCACCTACGTGAGATAAGCATAAGGAACTTTTTGATGATTGTAAATTAATGTAAAATGATTCAGACTGTTACTCTTGATAAGAGAAATAAACCAGTGAACTTTTAGCTGCATGAAATTTTTGGGTAATATTTTTAGTTATCTTTCTGTGCTAAATAATAGCTTTGAAAAATTTAATGGTTGTTTGACAAGTTTTTGCACATCAGGTACACTTTATCCTGGGAACATCTGCTTACAACAGCATTCTGTTTCATGTAATATATTATTAGTCTGCATCTATATGCATAAAGATACAATTCTTCACATATTTGGTGGTGCACATAATTCTGGCAAGTAAAATACAAGAATTATCCCGGTATTAATTCTAAAAGTTATTCTAAAATTATCTCCTATATGATGAGCTTGAGTCAATGATCTGTTGTAACAAGCTGCATAAAGACAGGATAAACAGCTGAAAGTAACTCCAAAGTGGTTTATTGCTTTGTAGATTAATCTGATTGTTTTTCCTAAAAAGCAAAACCAAAAGAACCCACACACAAACAATAAAACCCAACCCCAAACCACATTGTTTAAAATGAAAAATAATTTTAAAGACCCCCAAACCAAGGAAAACAGGGCCAAAGCTTGTGTTAAGACACAAGTTCCCAGAATACTTTTAAGATTATACCACAGTGTCATTAAATTCACTGGCTCAATTTCTTAGAATCGAAAAGTAGAATTAGGTCATAGGAAGTTGAAAATAAGTCAATCTATAATAATTTTTAATACTGTTTTCCTGGTTATTTTTTAATATTATACTGAGATTATTAGGTTTAGTCAGTCTATCAAACTTTTATAAAAGTGATCCAAATATCTTCTCCTTAATTTATTCAATTGCCTATTTGACTCTTAGTTTCCTTTGATCACAGTAACAAGAACTGCTTTGTATTTCACTGAATGTGTCCCCAAGGTCATTTGGTGTGGTTTTGGAAGACACAACTGTGTTGTTCAGCTGTTTTCTATGGAAAGGTGACTTTGCTTGTTTATGTGGCAAAGAGTAAATGACATACAGGAATACAGAGGTCCTGGAAGAGTATGGTGGCTACAGGCTTCAAAATATTCAAATATTCTCTCTGATTCTGTGAATGCTGCCAGTGCTGGATTGCAGTGATGGACACGAGTGCTCAGACACCCTCTGGGACAGGGAATGTCAGTATGGACTATCCTGGGAACTCCCACAGCAGTGGGAGCTGAAATTCTGACTGGGACTTTTGGGTGTTTACATATCAGAAATAGTTAATAGGGAAATATGGAGAGCAAGACTTGAAGCTTATTTAAATCCAAGGAATCAGAGGAGGTCTGCTGTGGGTAAGCAGGAAAGAATGGCATTGTGATAATCCTTTGTAGCAGAATGCAGGTCCACAAATATTCCTGAATTCAACAAGCTTGAATGCAAATGCTTTTTCTCTCATGCATGTAGATGGCATCCTGTAAATGCAATAGATGTGCACTGCAAAACCTGTCACAGCAAAAATGTAAACACTCTTCCACACTCTTCCTTTGGGTGCTGCTCCACTCGAACTGTGCTTGTGCAAGGCTGCTGCAGGAGGAGACAAACAAATACTTCTGGAAGAACTTGAGCCAAACTCGGGTTTGTTTCTGGGGATCCCTGGAACAAACCCATCCCACAGCACCTCTTGCTGCTGCCCGTTTAATTTGAACAAATCTTTTGCTCACAGGCAGATTTTCACTCTCTCTGGTGGAAATCTGCTTTCCACAACACATATTCTGCTGGGAATGTAGAGAACAGCCAGGAGCAGCGATGCAAAGAGAGCACCTGTGGGGAAAACAGGAGTCAGAGAACTCAAGGGACACATTCCACTCAGTAGGTAAGTTCTTCTAGTTTTTCTCCAAGCCAGAGCAAATTATATATGACATTCTCGTGCTGTTCTTTAAATTACCTTATTAAATCACTTTAGATGTTAAAAAAGAAAAAACCCCACTGTTTAAATATGTGTTAGTACAGCTTTTTCTCTGATTAAGCCCATTTTGAAGAGTAAGTTGTTTTAATTCCATGAAGCAAAGCCTGTTTAGTACACAATGAGAAAGAATGGGTCAGAAAAGAAGACCTTGAAATATTTTTTTTCTTATTGGAAATGTCTATAAATACAGAATTCATAAAGGGAACTCCCACTCTCTAGCTGCTAAACTTGATCTGGTGCAACCTCTTTTTTTCCACTGGGAAGTTTATTCAATAGGCAATGTAGATTTACAAATCATATGCCATGAAATTTCTGTATTGTGACAATTCTGGGGATCAGGAAATCAAGGGATCGTAGTTTTGGGGAGAGAAAAAGTTACTTCCAAAAGAGAAAACTTTGGGAGCTGAAATATTCTGAACTAGTCACTTGAGATGCAATTTGTTGTTTAGTAGTTCTTAGTTCAAGTGTTATGCACACTACAAACAGCCATGAAACATTTCTGCACTGGACAAGTTTATGCCTGAGCAGAGGCAGCCTCATCCTCTGTGCCTCAGGCAAATAGAAGAGTGGCATCTGTCACCTGTGCAAAATGCCAGCTCCCCTGGCTCCTGGAGGTGCTGCCCAGAGTAAAACCCACCCACAGAAAGCAGCTAAGGGCAAGGGAGGGGATCATGATTTGTGTGAGGTTTGAAGTGGAAATTGAGGAAGCATTCCAGAAAATTGGGAATTCAGGATCTCTGTGTCCAGTGGACAAGGCTGTATGTGACACAGAGCTGCTGATGGATTTTGGGTGGCCCCAGTTTGCTGTTACTGGTGTAGTGCTGGTGTGAGGGGCTGAGTGGAAAAGCTGAGACCAGTTATTAAAAACAGGATGACTAAAAAGTGCTCAGGGGGCCTGTCTGGCTTACATAGCACAACTATTGTGCCCTGGCTCCCGTAGGTGCTAATTCTCTCAGCAAACTTACAAAAATAAAACCCTGAAAAGGCTCATCCATGCTGAGAACAGCAACTTCATTCAGTGGGTGAAGGAAGCTTAGCTCTAGGAACTGAGTGTTCAACACTGCAGGCATTGCTGTCTTCCCCAGGGCTGTCCAGAAAGCTCTGCAGCCAGTGCTGGGGCTGTGAGAGGGATGCAGCAGTGCTGGAATAAACACATCACAAATGCCTGTCCCAGCTCAGTGCAGCACACAAGCCCAATGGGACCATTTGCTCTGGGAGTGGATAAAAAAGCCTATCTATCCCAGCAGGATATGTTTCCTCATGCAGAACTGGAGAAGTAAAATGTGATGAAGAACACAGTCTGGCTTAGGGATGCTCTGGAATAAACTTCATGTGAGATGCTAGAGCCTCATCCCTACCTCAGATATCTCTCAGCGTCTCTCCTTGCCTGGAATATTGTGAAAGTGCTCAAATAAGGAGATTCTTGTGGGTTTGGGGAGCTGAGGTAGTGAGGCTGTGCTGGTCTGTGTGAAGCTGCTGTGCAGGGCTGTGCCTGGGCAGCAGGGCATCATCCCAGGCAGGGCATCATCCCTGGGCAGGACATCATCCCTGGGAGCAGGGCACCATCCCTGGGATCAGGG